GCAGAAGTGAAAAAGGCCAAGGGAAGGGAAGCTTTTTGGGTTCGGTTTAGGGACGTGGATTGCTCTGGGATGGGGGGAAGAAGGTGGGGGGGGTTGAGAGGCAGGAGGCACGGAGGGCCTTTGACGCATCGCTGCTTCCAGTCAAACAACAGCAGCAAAGAAGCAGGTGCTCCCCTCCTTCCCTCCTTCCATTGCTCCTCGATGTCCCCATCTCCTTCCACAAGGTGACGGTGAGGTCCTAGCTTTTGAGGGGCCCTGCTGCCCCGGTTGGCCAGTCATGACCGTCGAAGAGTTCTAGAAGGCGCACAGATCACCTTGTGGCCGGCTGCTGCTTGCCTTCCCTGCAGCCCGAAGTGTCCGGGCTTCACCTTCCAAGCCGCTTCGGTTGCGATTCTGTGCAGCTCTCAGCGACGCCTCTGACTGGCTCAACTTGCAAATCAACCCAGGCTTGCCAGGCATCCCAGGACACCTTGCCTGCTTTCATTCCATTGCCTCCTTGCCTCCTTGCCTCAGATGATATACTGCCGGTACGTACTCTCCCACTGAGGCATCTTGGATCCCCTGGTTTCTGCCATGTCATCATGGGGACGGTCTCCCGTGGAATTTCAGGGCGCTTTCAGTGGGACTACCCCGTCCGCCCGCAATTGCCCCTCACCAAACCTCTCTTGCCAGTGGCTCCTTCATTCGATAGCCCGCTGATCAAAGCCGGTACAGCCCTTTTAGGGGTACGGGCAAGGGGGACGATCCCTTTCCCAGCCAAAGTTATGGAAGCTGCTTGGTCTCAGGATGTACTTTCTAAACGACACCTCGGCCTGCCGCTTTCACCAGGCCGCATTGTTGAGTCCTTTTCAGACAGCCAAGTCTCGCCTACAGCCGAATCCTTAATGCTTTACGACGGCCCATGTTTGTTTGAGAAATCATCGTTTCAAGCGATGGCCTGTTAGATGTGATATAAGACAGAGTCAATTTGGGATGTCCTGTGACTTAGGTTGTTCTAGAAACACTGGAAACTATGCTGAAGCATCTTCCATGGTCTGCCTTAGTAAGCAGTTACTTCCAGGTGCTTAATCAAAGACCATTTGCTTTGGCCGTGGTAAGTGTCGCTTGGCGAGACTTCCCTTCTAAGCTCTTGATCGCAAAGACTTACAATTTTGTCAGAATCTCTTTCAATGTAAGTGTTTCAGAGGTGTATTCCATACCAACCACCGCCTGGCACACGAAGGCTGATAAACATGATTCATAAGTGATTATCCAAAAACGACCCGGCAGCCATAGGACGAACATATTTCGCAAGTTGAGACAACGGTGAAAATTGAAGAACAAGCGTACGAGAGCTAAAGATTGTTGTGTCCAGATGCACTATTACAGATTCTAGATAGGATTGGCGGAAATATCGGTCCTATTCATCTTCTGCGATTTATAAAATAAAGTCACACCAAGAAGATGATATCGCCCTTTCTATCGGAAGAGAACCCTGAACAGCACAGTCATTTACAGCCAGGGAGAGGAGAAGAAGAAGACATCTCAAGTGCCCGCGCTGTGGGGCTGGGCGATTGGGCGACCGACTAGGCTATCGCTAGGGATCATATATGGTAAGGTTCAGACCATATTTCAGCAATCCGATATGGTGTAGTGGCCAACATGATGCCCTCTCATCTCGAATGAGAGGTTAGGCATAGCCCCGAGTTCGATTCTCGGTTTCGGAATATTTTGCTTTTTGGATGCAAGACTGCTTCAATGTTGGAAAATTCTGTCTAAGTGTGAAGCGCTGTACATGTGTATTTCTTCAATTAGAGTAGAAGCAATCTGCACAATCTCTTGACGTACATGTATTACTCTGGCTATCTTTCTCAAGGCTCGCGCCCCTGTGTGCCTTGATGTGCCTAGAGTTAGACAACCGACCACTGAATGTCACTGAGAAGCATTAGGGTGGAGCCGTGGGCCTTTCTCTATGAATGAATATACTTAGAAGCCTCCCAGGACGGGAATTGGATTAGGCACGCAGGCGCTCACCAAATAATTTCACGGAGCATGCATATCTTGTGGTGCCATACATCTCATATTTGTTCGGTCCATCTTTGATATCTACTGTTCCCTCAGACTGACTGGCTCTTTCCCTTGTTCTAGGTCTGCGCGTGTACTTCTCAGAGGATGGTACAGTGCATTATCTGTAGGGGCCCAGTTAACTGAACGGCGGCTGCCAGTGCTCCGTGTTGACGAGGAAGTGGGTTGGTCAGCCACAACGCTAGACCCAATCCATGCACTCAATGCCAAGCCACAATTACGCTGACTTCCGGCTCTCCTGTCTGTCCGGGCAAGCGCATTCTAGTTTGGACTTCCTCGACAGCAACCCCGATCGCCGACATCACCAACATCAATCGCGCGCATACCTTCTGAGTGCACGATTGCCCAAGATGCCCGATCCATCACCTGGCGTCAACCACGCCGACTCCATCGAATCGCAACATGACACTGGAAAGAAGGAAGACAAGAAGAAGAGCCGCCGCCCAGCGAGTATGTGGAAGCCCCGGAACGAAGCCAACCTCCCTTCGGCAATCGCGGAATCGATGACAAACGATGGAATAAAGATCGTGGTACTGATACATGTTTTTGAACAGATACGGCATTCAGACAACAACGTTTGAAGGCATGGCAGTAAGTTTGGCAACAGCACTTTGGAGACGACTAGTCGCAAGGGAATCTCGTGGCTGACTGCTACAGGCCAATCTTGACGCCTAAGACTGTCCTCCCTCTCTTCTTCACGATCGGAATCATATTTGCTCCGATTGGTGGACTCTTGCTCTACGCCAGCGCGAAGGTAAATATAGTCTCAATACACCCAAATGACCACTACTAAAACGCGCGCCTCAAAGGTCAAGGAAATTCGCATCGACTACACAAACTGCCTCACCGAAGCGACTTCGACTCTTGGTGAAATGGACTCGAAGTACATCAGCACTGCGTTTAAGAGCGACGACCAGACGAAGAATGCCGAATGGGCTGTGACAACTGTCGATGTCACCGACGGACCGATCACGTACGAGGCGAAGCAATGCAGAATTCAATTCAGAATTCCTGAGGATATGGGGCCGCCTGTTCTGTTCTACTACCACCTGACGAACTTTTACCAGAACCACAGACGTTATGTCGCTTCCTTCTACGACAAGCAACTTAAGGGAAATGCCGAGTCCGCCAGCAACGTGAATAGCTCTTCCTGTGAGCCCCTTGAGTGGGATTCGGATGCCCTGAAGCCGTACTACCCGTGTGGTTAGTCTTGATGTAGTCCACTGGCTCGTTACATCACATATTTACATAGCGACAGGTCTGATTGCGAACTCCATGTTCAACGATACGTTTACTTCGCCCCGCATGCTCCAAGAGGACTCGATATACCCGATGAAGAACAACTCGGGTATCGCCTGGGCATCCGATGCTGATCTTTATGGGGAAACCAAGTACGACCCGGCTGATGTCGTGCCGCCGCCAAACTGGAGAGTCCGGTACCCCAACTACACCACTGAGCACCCTCCGCCCAACATCGCCGAGTGGCAGGCCTTCCAGGTTTGGATGAGGACTGCTGGATTGCCAACTTTCAGCAAGCTCTACCAGCGCAACGACGACGAGACGATGAAGGCCGGCACATACGAGGTTAACATTACCGATAGTAAGTATCTATTGAAGAACGCGGCTCATTGTTCAGTGCTAACCTAGACGCAGATTTCCCTACCACTGAGTACAAGGGAAGCAAGTCCATCGTCATCACGACGCGAACGATCATGGGTGGCAGAAACCCCTTCCTGGGTATCGCCTACATAGTAGTCGGCGGCATGTGCATCCTTCTAGGTGTGATCTTCACTGTCACTCATCTTATCAAGCCGAGGTAAGGAATCCGTACTTCCGTTCCAAGCCCCTGCAAAACCTTGATGCTGATATCCCACGTAGAAAGCTTGGCGACCACACCTACCTCTCCTGGAACAATGCTCCTGGCTCCAAGCCGGGTGCCGGTCCCAGCTCGGCAATGGCCTCAGGTCGCGAAGTACGACCCGGCGAAGCCTAGAAGGCCCGCGATGAGTCGCTGCGCCCCCTTCGTGCGCGTGCGGCATCTGACTCAACCGAACCTTCTGTGGCATCGACAAGACTGGCATATAGTGTGACGACATCGTCAGTCGGGGCCCAACGCATTGTTTCCCCCCTGTCGCAACTGTGAGTTTGGGCAAGCTGACGTAGCATCGATTTGGAAGGTTAGCATCGCGGCGTTTTTGTACGGAATGACATGAAATTGTACGAGTACCGGGGACCTCGACTGAATGAGGAAAACCCCACCCTTCACAGCGTCTCCCGCTGCCGAGGAGAGGATTAGGAAGGGGAGCTTTTGTTTATGGTATTCTTTACCGGCTGGTCAATGACGCGTATTGTTTGTTCTGCTTTCTCCTTTCATGAACTTTTTGGGTTTTCGACCCTGCATGATGAGCTTTTTTTCAGACCCTCTTGAGAAAACGAGGGCGAGGTACCTAGGCAATCAGCAGAAACCAAGAACGTTCCTTAGCTTACCAAGGGAATCTGGAGTTCGAGGGTCAAGGGTCAGGTAGACCATGAAATTATCTCTTTCGAGGCATGATTAAATCAGTTCTGTTTGAGATATCTATGTTCGTCTATTACACTGCGTCGTTACCCGAGGTCAACAAGTGGGATCAGAGAGAATAATGAACAACCTCGCCGCACTTCATGATGCAATCACAAGATAGGAAGAGGACCGGGCATAGATAGCTATCCGGGAATCATCATGGATTAATAAGAAAGCTATCTGTTCCGTCGCCCTGAAGGCCGCAAGGGGCGGCCCGCGTTCACCAAGGACCTCCCCATACTCTCCACCCTAGACGCCTACACAACAAATTTGATAATACAATTGATACCAAAAACAATGCACGCATGGAAAACGCTTCCGTGTGTACCTGCGATTCGCCATTTCTCATCAAATGGTGTCCTCAAGAGTCAAATGCTCAGTGCTTTCTCTTCTTGCGGCCGCGGTCGTCATCGTCACCACCGCCACGGGCGTCCTCTCGATCGCGCTTCTTGGCCTTTGCCTCGAGCTCGTCCCAGTCCTCACCCTCGTCTTCGTCGCTCATCTCGGCGTCATCCTCCTCGTCAGAGACATTTGAGCCAAAGTCGGAGTCTTCCTCGCTCGATTCGGAAGCCTCGTCAAGCTCGTCAGATTCGATCTCAAAGTTACTCTCAGGCTCAGACTCCTCGCCCTCGTCGTCGGACTCTGCCTGCAAGAAGGACCAACCACCATCGATGAAGAACTGGTGGGTGTCGGCAGTGACTGTCTTCATGATGGTCGGCCAGTTCAGGTTGAGGGGACCCTCAGAGTATGCAATATCTGAAGAATCCAAGAACTCCTTGACGTGGTCGAGGAACTCTACTGGAATAGTGTTGACGTGGTAAGGTGCTCTCGTGAAATCTTTGAAGACGAAAACCAGATCAAAGTTCTTCAGACCAAATTGCACACGTTCCAAATGAGCCACTTCTATATCGTCCAAAGTGATGACCATGAAAGGCGGCTCGACAACCTGGATCAGGCACTCCGTGGTGGGCTGGATGAAGACGTTGCTTCGGAATGGCACACCGTGGAAGCCGAGATCCCTGATGGGGACATCTACTTCAATGTTCTCGTTCTTGCCGGCCTCAGCAATCTTCTGGGCAAAGCCTTGGAACAGCCGGTCAAGCTCGGCACGGCGACGACGCTCCTCCTGTTCCTGCTCGAACTCGTCCTCGTCACCGTACCGGTATTTTCTCTTGCGGTTGCCTGTTTCGTCGAACTGGATATCAGTCGCCTCGCGGTAAAACTGCACGTCCTTGGTCTTCTTCTTGTTGGCAACCATGATGGGGTCTTTCAGGTGAATGTGGATGATGACAATCAACTCGTGCTGGCAAGGCTGGAAGAATAGGTGGCGAACGTTTGAGAACAGAATGTCGACACGTTGCTGCGTGCTAAGCGGCGACTGGTATCGAATACCATTCTGGTGGATCTCCACCTTACCAGGGACTCGCTTTCCTTCCATGGCAGGGCGAATGAAGACGTTATCGAGCACAGCAGGACGGCGATCTAGTAGAGCTCGTTAATAGGCTTCTCAGGGCGATCAAGGAAGGGGCTAGCTTACTTCTTATCTCGACGAGCTTGTCCTGCTCGACAACATCCTCCAGCTCCTTCTTCTCCTGCTCTTTCTTGTTCACATCCCGCTTCATATTGGAAATCTGGGTGGCGATTTCTTGGTAACGGTCGCCATCCGTCGACCGAAATGTCAGACTTCTGACAAAATGGGCTGACGCATCCTCGAAAGGCTGGTCGTCTTTGCGACCGACACCCTGACCAGGTGAGAGAAGGTTGATTCTGAGGAACGACCAGTCACCCTCATCACTCTTGCTGGCATTCTTGATTGTGTTGATGTGGAACGGTACAGGGCGACCCATTACGGGAAGCACCACTGTGTCATTTCTCGCATCAACCACAATCTGTAGTTCGCGAACCTTGGGAGGGAACTGGTTGTCGCGCTTGTATGAGTCAAAACGCTTGAACTTCTTCACCTCTTTGCCGTTCTGCCCACTCGTAGACTCGGAGAAGCGCGCCAGGCCCTCCTTCTGCTTCTTTGACGCCAAGTCCTTCTGATGTTCCCGGCGTCTCTTGTCCGCATCGTCATCGACTGTGGTCGTCCGCTCGGATCTCAATCTCGTAGAAGTAATGTTTTTAGTAGCGACAGCACCAACTCGGGAATCCTTCTTTTCCTTCTTGGGCGTAGGCTGGGCCTCCTCCTCGTCTTTGAAGAAGAAGGAATTTGAATCCGCATCAATAGGGGTATCTCCGGTGAAAACGACTGCCTCGCTCGATGTCACACGGATCGTGTCGGTGATGACCAAGGAGTAGATCTTGCTGTTCTTGTCCTGGGGTTGAGGGTTCTCAATGTCGCTGAAGCCAGTGGTGATGACAAGAGTCATGCCATCCTTCAGGGCTCGGGAGTTCTTGGCGTTGAGAATCAAGGTCGGGTCTCTATTCTCCAAACCAACACCCCAACCAACGTTTTTCAAGAAGTGTTTCTCCAAATCAGGTTTCTTGGCCTTGATCATGCTCAGAGCCTTGTTGTAGACCTCCTTGATAACGACGCCATCGCGGACCTCTTTGAGGATCATGTTGTGGATGTTGAAAAGAAGCTTGTAGTTGCTCTCCTGCGACTTGTTGGGGTCTACAAGGTACGTACGCGCGATGGCCGAGCAGTACGACTTGTAGCGCAAGCCCATAGCAGCAACAATAGTACCGGGGTGCAAAATGTCGTCGTTGCTCTCTGAGTTCATCTTCAAGTCGTATTTCCCACCACTCTGCACAAGAGGGCCCAAAACCCAGTCCAGCTGTGCGGGGTCCAAGTCCGCGGGAAGTTTGGTCTTGTTTGGAAGCTCGACCGTCTTCCAGAACTTGTTATCGTCGAGCTTCTTGTCGACCTTGTCTGCCAGTGCGCTGTGCTTGACCTTCTTCTCCTTATCAAGAATGTCCGACATCTCTTCGAGGAAAAAGGGGGTCATCAGGGCGACGCAGGCCTTGGAAGCGGTTCGCATGGCTCGGAGCTCGGTTTCGTCCTTCACAGAGAAGGCATGCTGGGAGAGGGCTTGGGAAATGTCGACCTCTTCGATGTCTTTGCATTGATCGGCGAATACCTTTTTCCACTCTTCGATGAAGGGGCCCTTGGAGGTGTCCTTGGCAATAGTGCCAACCTTGCTCTGCGAAACGGTTGAGTTAGTGACGGTCGATGTTGGTCGCACGGAGCAATGACTTACACCCGAAGATTTGATGACTTCAGCGAGCTTGACGAAAAGCTTCTCGTTCTCCGCAGCGTCCTTGCCTCGAACGAGAACCTCGAGAGGGAACCGGCCATTCTTCAACTGTTCCAGATGTTTCGCTGAGATTGGGTTAGCTAACGCTCGCTGCGTGTACGGCGCAGTGATGGCGAAAACTCCTCACCTTTCTTCGCAGTCGTGAGGATGTAGATCTTCTCGGTCGTGAGCAGCATCATCGTCGTCGGGAATTCGTAGCCAAGAAGCCAAAACTAATTGCGCAATAAAACGTCAGCTCTCGATCTGTGCATGGGGACGATGGCAAACACAATGGAAATGGCCGTGTCGTCGCGGATTGGAAGGGAGGCGACTAACGTGCATGGCGTTGTTCTTGTGCAGCTCGGGGACCTCCTCCACCTTGCCCATCATGACGACGATGGACGAGGCGCCGTGGAAGATGTTGCCATCCTTGGATCGCAAGTCATTCTTCCAGGCGCTGGCGAGGCGCGAAGTGCGCTCGTGGAAGGCCTTGTTGTCGATCTTGATCTCCGCCATCGTCGCTGCGTAGTGAGTGACGGATTTGTTGGCAGAGAAGGGGTTGAAGAACGAAAGGTTCCAGGTTGCTGCTGGCGACGCGAGATCCGAAAAATCCACCGCGTAAATTGGGAGAGGTAGGAGCTCTGCACGTGACCCGCCTCGCGCTTTCACTTTCTTTCCACCTAAGGTTCTTAGGCAGTCACGTCAGTTGGCTGCAAGTTGCTGGGGTCCGCGGCGCGATTGTTGGTGGAGTAAAGTAGGTAGCGTGGAGAAGCTGGCGGGGGCACGGAGCAGGCGAGTTGGGCCTGTTCACTGTCTAGGTGGCGAGCTAGCGTGATATGTGCTGGAGGAGGTAGAGCTTTGGCGACCTATTCAGTTGGTGACAGTGGTAAGTTGGTAATTGTGGTGCAACTGGCAGGTCGGCGTCAAAGCTTCCTACCCGGGCCTGCACCTTGAAATGGAGTTCTTTGCGAAGCCCTTCATGAAATCCCCCCCAGACGGCAGCAAAGAGAGTCAACCTTCAGAGATCTAGAGAGGGAAGGAGCAGGTCCGGTACGTCACGTACTTAGTAGATCAGGCGGAACTAAAGTATCATCATTGCTGAGAGCGACAGCGACTTAAAAGTCGGGGTCTTGGAGAGCCTCGTTATCCCCAACTTCATAAAGACCAAGTGCTCGCAAAGAAGGTATCCACAGGGACAGAAGAAGGACGGGTCACTGTCAAGTCTCTGGAAACACTAGATGCATCTCGCTCCTGCGGATCCTGTAATCGAGTATAGGCTTAGCAAATTAATCGGCAATGATCAATAAACACCATTTTCATAGTATCTAGTGCTCGATTCTTCTCGATGGCATTACGTACACTACGGAGTACATTGATAAAATACACCTCTCTGTCCTTACTCTGTAAATACTTAACTCCATATTTCCCCCATGCAAGTCATCCCCAATCCCCAGGGAAGCAAACGAGACGGCTCCCCACTGAAAAAGGGATTTCCACCTGTTACCGACACTCTAAGGAAGTATCCGTACCCGACAGCGCCCTGCCGAGTCGCCGGCGGTTCCTTGAGAGACGCTCAGGTTCCAGTCGGGTGTCACAAGCGACACCGGCATCGCGCCGGGACAGCATTCAACCGGAAGACCCAGAAATTTGGCAAGAGGGGGGAAGAACGCTCGCTCGGCCCGCCCGATTTTCGGGATGTGGAGACGGGACTTATACGCAACCCCGCGTAAACCCCTCGGATGAAATAAAAGAAGGCATTTCGTAAACCTCACTTTTCTGACTTGGAGATATCATCACTTCACAGACCGAAACCACCAACCACATTGGGTTACATGAGCTCATTCTCAAGGTTCCTGAACCTTTTCAAGCCCAGAAAGATACCCGTCATACCCGCATCCCCCCTACCAAAACCACAAAGAAACACCTCCTCCTCCCCCTTCACAGCCCCCCCAAACCCATCCAAAATGCGTCTCCCCTACGTCCCCAACCCTCCCCAAACCACAACCCCCGAAGACGCCGCCATCGTCTCCCGCATCCAAGCCCGCCGCGCGCCCCGGCCCCTCCAGGCCCTAGACCTGACCCTTCTGCACGCGCCCCCCGTCGCCGACGGCTGGAACTCCTTCCTCGGCGCCGTCCGCACCCAGACCACCATCCCCGCCGACCTCCGCGAGCTCGCAATCTCCCGCGTCGCCGTCGTCAACAAGGCCTGGTACGAGTGGGGCCACCACGCGCCCCTCGCCGTCGCCGCGGGAGTCTCCCAGGAAGGCATGGACGCCATCAAGACCGAGACCCCGCTCGACCTGGCGAGCCGCCCCGCACTGTACCTCAGCGAGAAGCAGTGGGCCGTGCTCGTCTACTCGGACGAGATGACGAGGAACGTCAGGGTCAAGGACGAGACGTTTGCCAAGCTCAAGGAGCTGTTCAACGAGAGGGAGGTGGTGGAGATTACGACGACGGTGAGTCCTTCTTTTCTGTGGAAGAGGGATGAGAAGGGGGTTGAGGGTGGGAAGTGAGGAAGGCTAACGAATGAATACAGGTTGCGTGCTATAACTGTGTGAGCAGATTCCTGGTGGCTCTTGACGGTAAGATGGAAACCCCCAGCGTCTTCGAGTCGAATCAATTCTAATTTTCAAGCAGTCGGCGAGAGGAACAGCACTGGGCCTGACGACGTGGCTCTGCCCTCCCACTGAGCCAAAGAACGCGTGAGACAGAATTAAAATCGTATGCTTAAGTCGGGGGATCTTGTATTGAATTGGAAATGAGAAGACTAACTGGTCAAGTGTAGTGTAAATATGCCATGGGGCTAATGCTGCTGTGAAAAAGGGGTATCTCATCTAAGTGAAGTGATGTGTAAATCCTCCCGATAAACGGTTCAAAAAAGTAAAAACTATCTTCACCCCCAATCCTCTCCTTAAACCTCCTATGAACCTCGCGTAAGACTCTTGTGAACTTCCGTGCCCGCCTTACGCCTGTGACCCCTCCATTTTCTTCATAAAGTTCGTGCCCGCAGTGAAAATTGCGGGCGTGGGAGAGCTGACAGATGGTCTGCCAATGATGTCGCCCAAGATGCTTTCCCGAGGCCTCAAGCTGAGTGCCACCAGATCATATGTCGTCTGTTCAATATGCATATGCAAGTGTTCATACGTCGTTAGTGCCATGTAACCTGTAGTCGTAAGCCGGTAAATCGTTCTACGTCGTAGTTCGCGTTTATGTAGGTGCCGTCCATAGAGCTTCGACGCTTTCCCATGTCTGCCGCAAGCAATACTCCCTGAATCCATCGTATCAAATTGTCAGCTTGGAATTGGCCAACTCTGGTTCGATGGATCTCTCGATGGAGGAGCGTCGCTTGTGCATCCGGGGACTCTTTTGCAGTTCCTGAACCACACCCGCCCAGCCCAGCTTGTGCCCGGGTTGGGTCGTCTCGCGATGACCGATAGCTTGGGTAGTTAGCCTTCGCAGCGGCGGCCGCTCTCGAATCTCTTCCGTCAAGGCGCGCGTCAAGTGGGCGTTTAGGTTGGTCATTGGGGGTGTGAAAGGAGAAACAGGTGTCTTTTCCGGGTCTCTTTGCGGTGTCGTTGGTGTTGCGACGGGCACTTGACGTTCTGCTGTGACGTTTGCCCGGTCCGCGACCACACCCATGTATACTACGAGGAAGCGCATCCTCACGAGATCCAGCCGGCGCACACGCTCCTCGAGATCGCGGCGCTTGCTCGCCCAGAGAAGGCGGGCGCTCAGGCGTAGAGAAGTGGTATCTTCGGAGAGAAGCAGCAAGTTGATCTCTTCACGCAGGTCGTCGCCGCCCTTCTGGATCTCGCGCAACAGTCGCCCTAGGCGGAGCTTATCTTCGAGGCGCTGGACCTTGGCAACGTCCCGATCGTAGCTCTCGTTCTCCTCGACCGAACAGTCGACGGCATCGATAAAAGATGTGATCTCGTTGGGAGCGACACGATAGGCAGTGATATATGTTGTCAGGATCTGGGAGAGTACGACGAGGGAGAGGAGGAGCGCGGTAAGAATTAGGACGAATGTCCACTGACGCGCTTCGTTCTCGGCCATAGCGGAGAGCGAAGCACGTAAGAGAAGAGTGTAAGTGGCGGGTCAACTGGCGAGAGACTATCGCACCATGATGCGACAGAGGTATTATTGGACAATAAGGATGCGTAGGCCTACACAGGGACGTGATCCGCGATGGAAAAAGGCAGTGTTCAAAGTAGAGAGACGGCACAGTCAAGATGTGAAAGGAGGGAGGAGGCAACGTTGATGACGACTGAAATGCGTACACGAAATCGGAGGGGAGGAAGGGCAAGGAGGGCAAGGAGGGCATGGAGGGCTTCGTGGTGGTATTACTGTACTCCCGTCATGGCCGTTGACGGCAGGAGTTGGTCGTTCCGCTCCGCGCAGTGCTGTGCGCGCCAGTACGACGTTAGGGTCTGTAGGTCGGGTTCCAGATGCAGCGCAATCAAATAATGCCTCCTCTTCCTTGCCTTTTCCTGCCCCTCTGGGATGCGGCCTCCCTTGCATCTTTCTGGGCGGCATGGGCCAATAAATGGCACCGAGGTCGCTCCTGACGGGTCCTGTTCGTCGACCGTGGGATGCGACGCTCTCATGGTTGGTGGTCTCCCCTGCAGCTGCATATTGGAGCGTCACCTGTCACTGGACAGACGAGGGTGAACTTCTGTATCCAGCATGGCTTCACTGTGGCCCGAACGTGGCTCGAGAACCGATCCGATGGGGCCGGTGTTCTTCTTCTGCCCTAGACGGTGGGAACTGGGAAATCGAGAGTGAGAGAGGGGCCTATCACCGAGGGGCTGAGCTTGTGACCAACAGTAGCACCCATCATCGTGGCCCTCATCTTCGGGGCTTCGTTTGGTGGATTTGTGCGTATCCACTGTGCTGCATATCGTGGGCAAAGTCCACCGACTGGTGACAAGAAGGGGAGAAATCCTCGGGCAGATTGGCACTTCTGGCGGTAGAAGACGCGACGGGAAGGGCTAGAACCTAGAACCTGGAACCCAGCATTGCGGACGGCGGTGGGCAATGGGCGAGGGGTAAGTTCCATGATGAGGGGTTGTCTAGCGGTCAGCGAGCGAGACAAGATGAGACGACTCGAACGAGGCGAGGGCGGAACGGCATGTCTGCTGGTGCTATTGCTGGTGCTGGTGCGATTTGCCTAGCCGACATGGTGATGAAGAGAGTATGAAAGGCACGGAAGGCATAATTACAACCGGTGTAATCAAAATGCGCAGCTGCAGGTTTGTTCGCTTGTCTCCAGTACCTTGATTTCGGTCAGGTACCTTACATACTTTGTAAGCGCCATAACGTGCCATCCGAAAACTGCAACCTGCGGGTTCTGTTTGGCTCCACGCGCCAGCCATGTAAGAGGCTGGACACTTGCATCTTTAATGGCCTACTCGCTCTAACCCTTGCGCTTGCGCTGCGTTTGTGCTGCACTTCAGGTCAGCGGGGAGATTTAGCTCTCTGGATCACCGGTAGGTGCATGATGAGTGCTAGCCAAGCCGCCATACCCAACTGGACACTCTAGCTCACCACTTGACGCTGCCAGAACACGTTGATAAATTCCTTGCGTGAGGAAGCAGCGGTGATGGGATTCGATGCGATAATGAGTGTTTTCTCCAACCTGATCCCAACTTTTCCATCACCAATCTGAGCAACAGCAGACACATGGGACCAAATGTAAACTTTTCCAAGGTGAAAGTACGGAGCAGTGGAGAACAATTCAACATCCCCAGATCCACTCTCCCAATCTAGACTTTGGGTCCCAACATATCCTTGAAGGAGGTCACGTCTGGATTGAATTTGGACGTCACAGGCTGTCATGTTGAATATGCCAGGTACGATCGTTTGAGGTTGATGAGTCAATTCATCTCTACCTGCAGGACTATTTGGGGATATGCATTTTCGTGCAAGGGGTATCAAATTCCATCTGCGTCCTCAATCCTGCCACGCTCCACGCCAAATTGGCGACGGAACTTACTGCTGTCTAGCCTCGGCCTGCTTCTGAATGTCGTGCTCAGCACCACGCTGCTGAGTCTTGCCCGTGTCGTGGAGACCCTCGTAGTGTGCCTGACCAGCCTTGTCGCCGGTAAGGCCAGCAACGGCACCACCAATAGTACCCTGGACACGGTTGCCAATGCCAGAGGTGTAGTCATTGAGCTGGCCCTTAGCCTCCTGCTGCTGGCCCTCGAGGTTCTGCTCGCGACCTTGCTGCTTCAGGTTCTGTAATCAAGCAGTCAGTCTACTGGGTGCCTAGGGGACAGGGAGTGGAAGTTATGGACAGACTTACCTCGGAGCCGACGAGACCACCAACAGTCTCCTTAGCAGAGCCGACGGTCTGGTTCCAGGAGCCGCCAGCACGATCGGGGTCATCCTTGGTCACACCACCAGCGGTAGCAGTGAAGCCGGGAACCTTAGCGGTAGCGTGGGAAGCATCGTGCTCGAGCTGTGCCTTGTCCTGCTTGGCCTCTCCCTTGTTCTGGTCGGCAGTGCTGCCGGTAAGAGAGCCAAGGAGGTTCTGGGCAGCGCCAGTGGCAGAGTCGACGTACGACTTGAGGGTGGAAGTGTTGTCGTTGTTGGCAGCCATGATGAAGGTTGTGTGGTTTGATTGCTCTGATGAGTCTGATTGATTAAATATTGCAAAGTGCTTGTGGGTTGCGTATGATGATTGACGTGAGGTGTTGATGTAGCAGAGGGATGGCTGTTGTATTGAGGAGGATGGATGGTATTTATGAATGGGAGAACTACGTCCAGGCTCCTTCACTTCCTCAGGCAGGGAGCATGTGAATCGCCATTGTTCTGGCAACCACGATGGCATTTGCCAGACGGAGCTGAAGGTGTGATGTCATTTTGGAGATGGTTCCTGTGGTTGCAAGAGCAGAGGAGGGGGCCACTTTGGGTCATTGTGGAGGACAAACGCGGGATGGAGGGGCAGCTTCGTACCCTGCGCACCTTCCATGATGTCATTTTTGCGACTTCACGCCTTCTGAACTAACGACCACGCCATCGTCGTGTCGCCCCTTTCTTCCCAACACGCCTTCAGGCTTTACGCTTTTCGTCTGGAAAGACGAGACGTCTTGCATACTTGCATACTGCGTAAGGTAGGCCATGTGAGCCCACAACAGACGTAATGAGGACCAGTCTGGACCTTTCTTCTCCGACATTGCCATTTGAGGGATGGTTGATGATGCACATCTTTCCCCCGCCTTGGCAAGTGCTATTCCCTCAACTTGCAAGCTGCCAGCCATGGCTATGCCACAGTAACAACGCCTGCCTCCTTGCCGATGCCATCGTGATTGGGTTGTAGGGTAGCAATATTGCATTCGTACTGTTGGTAGAGCATAGCAAATTCATCCTTGCACTAGACCGCTGAAGAAGCCGGATAACCGGTGTCATTCCGCATGGTCTGTTTAGCTTGAGGTAGTGTCAAGGCTTACACAAGGTCCATCAGACTGTCACACGTAGGCGATAATGTCGGCCAGCACATGGAGCTCTCTTTTGCTCGTTTGTGCATAGCTTGAAGCTTCTCTATTGTGATTCATGCTGGGAGAAGTTCATTTGATGAGGTCCCTCACAACCATAGTATACAGGCCAAATTCTTCGTAATAAAAAAACCGCCGATTGCCGCCGTGCCGGCTCTTGCCGGCGCTTGGTCTTTCCGACCATTTTCTCAACTCTCCGTGGTTCCCGATTCCAACTCCAATATCCCTGAGCAAAAACGAAAGGCTGGCTGTTAAGGTATCTCAAATGTGGGTTTTAATACAAGCTACTCCGGGTTGGAAAGACTCGGGTGTCTTCCTGCAGGATCCTCAACGGCTCAGAAGCGTCAAGTGCTGAAGAGTGCAGGTGTTGATGCGCAAGTATGCATCATGTCGAGCATACTGCCTTCAGTGCTGGCTCCACTGGATAGTGTTAAGGTCAACACCTTCCTGCACCAACTCCCAAAGCGGACTCAGCTCGCGCAGGAAGTCGACTCTCTCCTTAACTGCCTTGAGAACGTAGTCAATCTCCTGCTCGGTGGTGAAACGACCAATACCGAATCTGATACTGCTGTGCGCGCTCTCATCGCTGTTGCCCAAAGCACGAAGAACGTAGCTGGGCTCCAGGGAAGCAGAGGTGCAGGCACTGCCAGAAGACAGCGCAATGTCCTTCAAGGCCATCAGGAGAGACTCGCCCTCAACGTAGGCGAACGAAACGTTGACGCATCCAGGGTAGAAGTGCTCAGGGTCGCCGTTCTGGGTGGTGTGCTCCAGCGACAACAAACCGTTGAGGAGTCGGTCGGACAAGAACTTGATGCGCTTCGAGTCATACTGATACATCTGTTAGCTGCGGTGTACCAACGCATGATGCCATAGACAGAGCAGAATAATTGGGATAGGGTCAGACAGGTTGCTATTTTTCAACATGGACGTCCTTGTCACGGGACATTCAGAAAGCCATGCATGTAGGAGCGAATCATCATATGGGTAGAATGGGGAAAGGGAACTTGATGAAATCTTTGACATACCTCCATTTCCTCGTAGGCGATGCGGCACGCCTCGCCAAAGCCAGCAATCAGTGGCGGTGCGAGAGTGCCGCTCCGCAATCCTCTCTCCTGTCCACCTCCGCTGATGATGGGGTCAAGTCTGACTCTGGGCCGGCGGCGGACGTAGCAAGCTCCAATACCCTTGGGACCGTAGATCTTGTGTGAAGAGATAGACATCAAGTCGATGTTCATCTTGTTGACGTCCATGGGAATCTTTCCGACAGCTTGTGCAGCGTCGGTGTGGAAGAATGTCTTCCTCTCGCGGCAAAGCTTTCCAATTGCCTCCAATGGCTGGATAACTCCGATTTCGTTGTTCACGGACATAATGCTGACAATAGCAGTGTCCGGACGAATTGCTGCAGCTAGCTCATCCATATCGATCAAGCCAGAGTTCTTGACTGGGAGGTATGTGACTTCGAAGCCCTCATCTTGGAGATGTCGGCAGCTGTCGAGAACGCACTTGTGCTCCGTCTGCGAAGTGACAATGTGCTTCTTCTTTCCAGATCTGCCAAAGAACCTTGCGACTCCCTTGATGCTCATGTTGTTGCTCTCGGTGGCACCGCTCGTGAAGATAATTTCCTTGGGGTCCGCACCGATAAGCTTCGCAATGTGCCCTCGAGCCTCCTCGACCGCTTCCTCACTTTCCCATCCATATGCGTGTGTTCTCGAATGCGGGTTTCCGTAGATGCCAGTCATGAACGGTAACATGGCATCGAGGACGCGAGGGTCGACGGGAGTCGTGGCTTGCATGTCGAGATAGATGGGTCGCTGGCCCTCCTCCATCGTAGTGACTTGCTTCAGAACCTCAGCCATGGGGCTAACCATGACATTTGAGGCATCGGGTGACTGAGGGACAACATCAATGAAGTCCTTCTTGTCAAGCTTGATGGCGGTTTCGATGTTAACCTGCGCATTATCACGTTTCGTTTCCGAGACGTATCTGCGCTGCTGAGATAATCTGTGGGTTTGCACAACCGCCACCCTTGATAATGAGGAAATGCCTCGTGAGGGGACACCCGGCACTTGCGTGTAGCGGCAAAGGCGACCTGCCTGCCTGAAGGCGTTTGATGTGATGCTAGCCATGATGTGGTTGATGTTGATGGCGTAGGGAAGAAGAGGGACGCAAACTTCAGGGAGAAGAAAAAGGGAAAGAGAAATTCTAGAAGGAGGAGAAGCTACCCTACTCAGTATGGGGATAGTTTTTTTCGTGACAAATTGCATCGGAGACCGCCTCGGGATCGGGGATAAACACACGGGCCGTGATTGGCCGGATCTGGTGGGATGACGTTCCCTATTCAGCTGCAGTCCTCTTTGGTAGGCGGTTTCGGCTACGGCACCTGTCAGGACCGACACCCCCGAAGAAGCAGCAGCCCCAGATTGGGCCGCGCCTCGTAAGGTCAAGAAGCACAGGCGGGCGCGGCAGGGAAGCCGAAGCTTGCAAAGGGACGGTACCTACCTAGGTGCATGGTCCTTACCATCCCATGCCATAAAGTGCCTTACCTAACATGCCCTTACTCAAGGATGATTAGCTAAACAAAACGTAAACGGGCAGGCCTCCCAGGACTTGGGCAAAGTGAATTGGGTCTTTGCTGAAATGCTGAATGCGGCCGGACTGGGGACGAGGATCATTGCAGAGACGGGCTCTCGGAGTCGCCCTGCTCTTCCACCGCTTTCGCCGCGACCGAGCAACTGTATTCCACTTGCCTTTCTTCCTTTTGCATTGTTCAATTTCCCAAACCGAAGCTCCGAATATCCTCAAGTCCATCCCCTTCCTTCCCTCCAACCCTTTTCTGAAATTCTTCTTCTCATCCACAAATCGCAGCGTCATCACCGCGAAACATCTGTTTCTCACGTCGCAGTGCTCCGTTCTTCCCGTTGACCCCGCCAGGCACCTACTTTAGGTACCTTAGCTTCTGCATAGTAGCGCCTTAGCTCCTGTCCTTCGGCACCTCATGCGCCACAGCCAAGCGACACTGCGCAGAAGCTGACTGACACAGCCACGCCTACGTCGTCACCAGCGACAATCAGGTTGCGAGAGCCCACACCTCATAAGGTTGGACGTCGAATACCCTCAACTTTCAAGCAGCGAAAACCCTCGTCGAAACTTCCAGCCTGCGATACCACCTTTTCTGCCCTTTATTGGCACGAATTTTGCAAATACCTAATCCGATACATCACCACCACAAAATCACCCCGCCATGAGCTTCCGGGGCTTCCAGAAAAGCGTCATTCGGGTACGTGTGTCCACTTAATGAGGGGTCCTCCCGTGCCTTCCGCATGGTGACGTGAAGACGGAACACAAAATTTGGCTGACTATTGATCTACTTTTCTCCACGACGAACAGGCGCCCCAGCAATTCAAGTCGCGCTTCAATATCGGCGAGCACACAAAGGATGCCGTCTACATCGATTCCGAGCGCAGATTTCAAGAGCTGGAGACCGAGACGAAGCGATTGCACGATGAGTCCAAGAAATACTTCGATGCCATCAACGGCATGCTCAGCCATCAGATCGAATTCAGCAAGGCTATGACCGAGATCTACAAGCCCATTTCCGGTCGCATGTCGGATCCCGACAGTTTGGAGGTTCGCGGCAACCCCGAGGGTATCCGTGCCTGCGAAGAGTACGAGGCTGTCGTCAAGGATTTGCAGGAGACTCTTGCGCCAGAGTTGGAGATGATAGAAAGTAGGGTTATTCGCCCAGCCAACGAACTCCTCGATGTCGTCAAGGTCATTCGCAAGTCGGCAGCGAAGCGCGAACACAAGAAGCTCGATTACGACCGACACAGACAAACCCTAAAGAAGCTGCAAGACAAGAAGGACCGGAATGCCAAGGACGAAAAGGCTTTGTGGAAAGCGGAGAACGACGTGGAGCAGGCGACTCAGGAGTTCAACTACTTCAATGATCTTCTCAAGGAGGAACTGCCGCGCCTGTTTGCGCTCGAGCAACAATTCATCCAGCCCCTCTTCCAGTCCTTCTACTACATGCAACTCAACATCTTCTACACGTTGCACGAGAAGATGCAACACTGCGACATCGGCTACTTCGACTTAACGCTTGACGTGCTTGAGGCATTCCACAAGAAGCGAGGTGATATTCAAGAGCAGGCGGAGAAGCTATCCATCGTGAAGTTCAAGACGACTGGTCAGAGACGTCCAGCAAAATACGGCGGCCGTCCCGCAATCGAGGGCAAGCCTCAACACCTGCTTACCGCTGGACCTTCTTCCTCTTCAGCTGCATCAACAACCTCAGCAGCGCCCACAAAGTACGGTGGTTACACCAAGCAAGGAGAAGTCGCCGACTCGAACCCGCCGCCTCCATACTCTCCTCCGCCCACGAACGGAACTTCTGGTGGAGGACTCGCCGCTATCGCTGCAGCAAAGTCAAAGCCTCCTCCGCCCAAGCCCAAGCCCAGCCGACTCAGCGGAGCGCCGGCGGCAGAGCACGTTACCGCCTTGTATGACTACGCTGCACAAGCTGAGGGCGACCTGAGCTTCAGGACTGGCGATGTCATCGAGATCATCAGCAGAACAAAAAACGAGAATGAATGGTGGCAAGGTAGATTGAACGGAAAGACTGGGCAGTTCCCAGGTGAGTTTTCGTCACCTGCCAGTACAAACTGAACAGAGACAAAGACTGACTTTATCTGTGCAGGGAACTATGTGAAGTTGAACTGAGTGGGACCGTTTGACTCCCAACCCACCAATAACGATCGACACCCGTGATCTTTACTCAAATACACTGTGCCGCAGAGGCACATTAATGAACAACTGCTAGGGCATCGAAAGGGAAGCGCGAAATACTTGCATTTGGGATCTTCGGCGTACGCAGAAGGGACTGCCCCATCATTTCGAGTCGGAAAACACTTGGGAGAGGAGTGAATGCAAAGGGAGAGAAAGTGAGGGAAACTTGGATGTAGGGGAAGGGAGGAGGGGTGTGAGACAGGCTGAGGAGAGACGTCGCTTTGCTTCTACCCTGGGAGAAGTGTCCATGTGACACGAGTCTGTTGGTCGCCTCACTTTTATTCCCCGAAGTTTTCGGTGTAGAGAGACCGGCGTCGGAGGCGGCGGCATAGCAAAGGAGGACCTTCTGATCCCATACCTACTACGCCCTTTTTTTTTAATGATTCTGCAATTGTTGTGTTGTCAAAAATCACAAGAAATTTCTTGATTCTGCAAGCATTCTCGGCGGGCTGTGACTACTGCGTGAGTCCACACGAGAGAGCTGTCCATTTGCTTTTTACTGGTTTGCATGGTTTCCAAATGTCTCGTATCAGAAGTATGGGGGCGGGGGACATCCGAAAATGAGGCTCTCTCCTCTTGGTATCTCACCCCCTTTTCTTTGAGTTTTGACAAACATGTTCGCCTGCGGCTCAGCCTGCCTATAGCTTCATGTGTGGTACCAGCCGTCGGCGGCGTGAACAGCAAATCTTTGATGACCGAACAGTTCATACATGGTCCAGGGCGCGCCCTTTTGTATTGTAAATTCAATGTGACAGGAGCTCCATCGGAATCGGCAAGATGCATAGACAGTACTGGGTATATATGCAGGTTATTGAGGTGTGGTAGAATTGTATCCACGTATGTATCTATAGGCCGCCGGCATGACCTCTTCTTCCCCAGGAGCCCAAGACCCATGGAAGCCCGTTGACCCCTGACTCCGAGGGTACCATTGCATCTTTGGCTGGGAGTTACGCCAGTCTCGGGCCTTGTGACATGCAGCTTGATTCTATCCACCCTGTATTCTAGTATGTCAAAGTGCAGATTCGACATGGGACGATGGGGTGAGGCCCTCTGGACGAGGTGAGCAGATCATCGACAGGTTCTGCTCCCAATCGGTCTGCTAGTAGTGACAACTCCGTCTCTGTATCGGAAATCGGCGGGGGAGAACTGGGAAGGTAGGCTAGCTGTCGCTTTCCCGTGGGTAAAGCTTTGAAGAGTAAGATCCCAGAAGGAATATCAGCTCCCATGGTAACATCGTCCAACGGGAGATCAGCTTCTACTCCAATCATACATGCCAAGGGTCGGGTTGTCGCCTGTCTCGCTGGTTAACTGACGAAACTCAAAGTAATAAATGTAAGATACGGAGTAATTAATGAAGATAGATTTCAGAACGGGGGTCGGGCTAGCTCGCTTATCCCCTTGGAAGAAACCGGGGTACTCCGTAGGCATCTCTACACTAGAGTCCCCATCGTGCGAACCACATCCGCCCTTCCTGAGCGGGGTGAGCAAGGGCTTTTAGAGCAGAAAACAAGGCAACCGACATCCGTTCCCCTGTCCAAACACAAAAGCAAAGAATCCAGGCGGACGCTACTGTGAAGCTCCAGCGGGCTGCCTGCAGTAACTAATGATAGAAGAGGGCGTAGGTGCAGTTGTCATCAGCCGAAGACCTGCGTCCCACATCTTTTCGCGTCTTTGAATGGAGCAAAATACAAAAGTCTGTATGTGATCGTCATCTTGGTAACCCTGTTGAAAAAGTACCAGCATGAGATCTTGCCGTTGAGGGATGCTAGTAAGACGTCTAGAACGTTTGAGAGAGCTGCCAGCGGCAGGCTCTCATCAGCAACACCGGCACGGGACCGAGTGATCCTTGCAAAACGCAAAGTTGAAACCAACAGGATTTCCAAGAGCATATATGGTTTGCAGATATGCGGCCGAGGCTCTTCTTATCCAGGATGGCGCGTCTGGCCTGCCGATGTCCGTCTGCACGTTGGCAGATGATTGTGACGGGTCAAGAATGGACCCCTCACTGAAGGAAGAGTTTCTCGAACCGGGAGCAGACACCGGAAGGGACTGCGGCGTAGGATAGGGCCCCGAATCTCTCGCATCGTCGCCTTCTGTCGTTTTTGGGGTGCAAGGTGGTCTTGTTGGGCCACCAGGCCACCGGGCGAGTCCGGTAAGCTTAATGGAAGGGTCAAAACAGATGAAGACCAAAGGCCGTCTGGTTTGAGATCCCCTTTGCCCACTGGCGTATACCAAAGAGCGCTCGTCCATTACCCCCGAGATGTTACCGAATGTACTCTGGCCTTTGGGGCAGAGTATGTTATCCAATGCGTCAAGGTGCACATTTCGTTGGCTCACGTCGACCTCTGGTGGCCACGATGAGATCTCGTTAGGCCCATGGGTCTGGTGGGAGACCTGAGCAGAATGGTCAGCTGGTGACTCCTTCGGAACCCGGCCGGTTCCGCTTTGGGGGAAACGAGAAATTGAACGTATTTGTGGTCGTTGCGTCATCGATTCGGTAGCAACAGGATCGTTTACCAAGTCGATGAATGATTCGCAAGACTGATTGTATGAACGTATAAAACACTGAGAAAGGGTTATAGTCGGCGATGTAGAGCCGTCATCACCCCTGTGAACAGAGGTTGTGTCCCCTTGCCTCTCCAGCGTGACTAACTTAGTAGCTGAGCAGCGCGGGATTGATATATATGCGGTTTGGTGTGTGTCAGCTTCGGTATCTCTATCACCAGGGTCAACAGGAGGGGCCGCAAAAATGAGCTCCTTTCGATAGGCGGTTCTCGCGCTGGAAGATTCGTTGACGAGCCATTCCCTTCGACATTCAGACACCATGATGTTTCCCGTGACTAAGTCTTTCGCGAGCTGCAATACACTCCATCGATCATCTATCGGTCCGTCTTTATGGTCTCGTCTCAGCATAGATTCTTTCGACGCCAACTGCATGTCTCGGGGTTGGGTACTGCCCACAGGTAACCGAAATCCGTAATAATACGATAGCGAATCCGTCTCGTATACTTCGAAACTGTTAAGGCTAGACAAGCCATAGAAATAGTCATCAATGATTTCGAAACAAACGGTAGCTCCGATGTCTGAACCAGCTAGGTCTTCGAGATCCAAGTGACCAGGTATCCACTGCTTGGTCCGAAGATCAAATCGTCGTAGAACCCATCGTTTGAAGCCATCATCCCCAGTCACCGAGTGAGTGCCGTAATAGAGATAGTCTTGGTTGTTACGCACAAATAGCTTGGAGGTTGACTCGAGACGTTGGGCTGTGAGAAGCATCCTCTTCTCCACGTTGATGATCAGGAGGCGACTCCGACCTTCGGTTTTAGGTGGGCTGTAAAGACAAGATAATACTCCATGGGCGAAGTGTATTGGGCGGAACTTGTACTTGTTGTTGGCCAGATCCACCCCCGAGACAGATTGCAGCAGCATTCGAGTATCGATGATGTCCTCTGAGTCCGATGAGGCATGCAAGTTGAGGAGACGGAGCACCTCGTAATTTTCCGTATAACAAAGCATGCCGTTGCAGTAGATGAAGTCAACTGCGTGAGCAATCAGAGCTGTGGTGTATGGCTTGGCAGTGGCGATAGCGTCTCGCAGTTTGACCAGTCGTCGCAAGCAACGAGCATATTGCTTAGAGGAGCAGGTAGCTAGGTAATCAGCTGAGTATGGCGCATGAGTCTAAGCCACTAAGTCAGCGCGGCCCAGTCTGGTAGCTGTTGTTGAGACGATGCTCACCTCTAATGCGGCCCGGCAAATGTCATTATTGTCCACGAGATACCTGAACTGCTTGCAAACGAGGCTCAAGTTGAATATGTCATGTAGATTTAAAGAATTTGCGATATAAGTCATAATCTCGATAGGCAGCCCTTGCATTCTCGCAAAGTCGACGGCTGCCATGAACCCGTCCCTCGACCATCCGGTTGGGAAGCTGAGATAGGATGAAGGATCAAGTGTTCAAAAGACCTTGGACACGCTGTGAAGGTTGTATGTAGCTCGAAGGAGGGGCGGCCGGGGTTCGGAACTTCCTTCGCAGGAAATCAGAAGTCACATGTACCTCAAGGCAATTGATTGACGAGGCGGCCGCTTTTCATGCAGGTCGGATCTGCCTTCAAGAGGGACGACCGCAGCCCTTTTTAAGATGAGCGGCGGAGCCTTGTGTACCATCATCCCAATACCGGATGGAGGTGGTAGAACTTGAGCCTCATCTACCTTACGTATAGCCTTCCGGATCCAGACCCCGGCCACGAGCCGCTGAGAAGGGAACACTGCCCCTTCATTTCCGACATTAATATCTCAAGTCAAACCATTCTCATTCCTGGGCCTGTACTGGGGCGACATCGGCCGCAGCCTGCGTCAGTGACCGGCGGGGTACCGGAAGGGCGTGTCTTTCAGATACTTCGGTCAGTAGTGCGACATTGCCTGCTTAAGACAAGGGCCATTCAACACTGTCTGATAATTTTGGAGGCATATAGACGGCTTAGCAAGCTGAAGTGGTTTCGAGCTCCCGGAAGAGGGGAACCAACGAGGTGTGGGATAAGGCTGTACAAGGGCACCCAAGTCTACTTGCCAGGCCGTTTGGCCAGCAATCAGAAATGGCAGAAATACTCCATCACTTGTCTCGCAGCCCGGCAGACCATGGAAGATGCGGCTCTGTTCCACCTGAGATGCGCTAATATGGAGTACGTGGGCACCGAAAAGAGGCACGTAGTAGCTTGTGTTCCCTTGAGGCACCCTGGTCCCTGCAAACAGCCAACCCCAAATGAAAGCCATCTGATTGGCCGAATATCAACTCGCCCCATGCGGAGCCTCACCTCATTCCGGATTTCCATGAAGGTGGCCTTCCTCTCCAGTTTGCACCCACCTTTCGGTCAAACTTCCTCTTCCTGATTACGGTGCCATGACTGTCCAAGCTGAGCGAGACGAGCTTGTTCCAACGGAGAGACTTCTCGACTACTACTAGTGCGGCTCTGCAACTCTGCGGCTCTAGGCCAACACACGGCCAAAATTGTACTCAATACTCCCTGGAAGCATCGTCACCATCGCACAAGGTGTCATCCTAGTGACCTGGGATCTAGCAGTCTCCGTCATCTGCGTACACCCCTCATGTGAAGTTAGTCCTCAGTACCATCAGCTTGTTCAATTCTTTAATGGAATGACTGACTACACTACGTTCCCATTGGCGTGCCTTGTTCATCATCCTTCGAAGATCATCCTCACGCCAAACAGTCCCACTAGGTCAGCTTCATCAGCATGGGAAGTTTCCAAACTAATCACAGTCTACGCCCGTCATTCGTAAGCATGTGCCGGAAGGAGCCCTGCTCATCGTCAAACTGTAGCCTCAGCTTGCTAAGTTCAGTCAACATAAGGCTAGCATGGCTTGGCCGATTCGATTCGAACATCAGTCGGGCTCATTAACTAGTGCAAGTGTGTCAGATGTGGTAGGCTACATCACGATCTGCTTCCTACAACGCCCGAGCCTCGAGGGCATCAACATAGCTGACTTACCAATAGCGGGCACAATCGTCGGACTACGGTCGGCTGGAACAAAGTATGTGTCAATGCCCTATTTGCCGGGCATCGTGACACCAATTGGCGTCGCCATGTGATGCCTCATTCCAGCGAGGTCTCGCATCGCAGAGTGGTAGCGCCAGCTCCTTCTACACTAGTCACGTTCCACTGTCGGGTATCTTGTGCTCTCCCTACCTTATAACAAATTTCAACGCAACAGAAGTGCAAAATCCAGCAAAAGCTTGAACGCCATGCGCGGCATGATTCCAGGTCTCTGTTGATGCCCAAAATTCGGGTGCTTAGTTGGGCTCAACCACGCTGGCCCCTCGATTCCATGACTGGAGGCTTAAAATGCGACGTGGTGGCTGGAAGTCTTTGAGCGTCTGTGCGGAAGACACGAGCTTCGCGGAATACCAATATATTTCGTTTTGAGGCCTTGCTGTCTTTCTTGTTGAATGTTATCCTTTTGGAGACTGAAAAAATGGAAGAGGGCTGCTAGCCCAAGCCTCATGCGTGCCTCTCTCTCTCTTTCTCTCTCTCAAATCATCTTGATCCTGAAGTCAGGTAGTTGGAACCCAAAGGAGTACATGTGTTAATGCAAATGTCACGTGTCACAACCTTGTAGGACAGTAAACGAAGAACGACTCTCTACAAAGGTAACAGCCCGTACGCAAGTATTCTACATCAAGTTACTCACGTCACCAGGAGAGGTTTTTGCCATGTGTAGCAATTTCCAATGAGAATTTCCTGACCAGCTGGTAGAGACATGGCCGGTGCTTCTCCGAATCTTCGACAGACCGGCAGCCTTATAGTTCGATGAGGTCGAAATGAACGGTGCCTCGGCCAATATCTTTAGCATTCTGTGTCCTACGTTACCCCCCTGCGCTTTCTGGGGCCGGAGATGTAGGTATTGCACGCCGGGAATTTGTCCGACGAACCCCGTTATCTGACTACCTTAGCGCTTACGACTTGACTTGTGTTTTGGTACTTTGGTGCCATTGCCTTGGTAGATATTCAGGCTTATTAGGGTATTATTGATCCTAGGTCCACTTCATGCATGATATGGTAAGCATCTTTAATTATGTCATATTCAGACAGCTCAATGGATCGTTTGCTTTGATACGTCAAACGGGAAGGACACACTTTGGCTCATGATCTCCCGCATCGTACTTATGACTGTTAGGCTTGACGAACTTATTTCAAGAGCCTTTCACAATTCTGCGGGCACGTAGATTTCCTTCCGTTCATTGTTATGTTCACTGCTGGTTGTATCGTAGTGAGAGACAGAGAACCCTTGTCCCAAAATGTTCAAAACACATTTGCCTCTTCTTCACTGTTCGATACGCTGCAATGGGAGAACTTTCTACTGTGCGGAATAACATTCCGCACGGGCATAAAAGCGGCAGCATGCCGAATAAGACTTAGCTGGGTAGGATCTTCCTTCCTGGTTCTCGACTTTCCTATTTCATGCTTTTGCCCTTTCCAACACACACGAATCAGCCCTACTTTTCTCCAGAAACCCGCCGACTATGAGTCTTACCGCAGAAGTCGACCTCTGGTCACCCTTCACGAGCGACACTCTGCTGGAGGTTCGCACCAGCGTGATGAAGAAGATGCGCGGATTAGAGGTCACGTCCGGAATTGACAAGGATTTGAGGCATGGCCCCATTCACGTATCGTACCTCGGACTCGATGCGGATGAGCATGATCCAACTTTCCATGGTGGACCGGATAAGGCGATACACGGTTGTGAGTACATTATGATGCTAGTTTAGGCGTTCTGCCATCATGACGCAGTTCTGAAAGTTTAGTCTAGATTGCTCCTCTCACTATTCTGGCTGGAAGGCAGAGCATCCAATTGCAGCGGAAAGATTCAGACCAGGAGCTTTTGGCGAAAACTTTGTCACCAGACATATGAATGAGCGCAACGTATGCATCGGCGATATTATCGCCGTTGGTGACGAAGTCGTGCTTCAAGTCAGTTTGCCACGACAACCATGTTACAAGCTCAACCACCGTTTTCAGTTAAAGAACTTCGCGCCTACAACTTTCAAGTCTAGTAGGACTGGTTGGTATTATCGTGTTCTGAAAGAGGGAACAGTCGAGGCTGGCGACGAAATTCGGCTCGTCGAACGCAAATGGCCCAAGTGGACCATTGAGAGGGTTCAGGAGTACTTGCACCGGAACCAGACTGATGCGGCTATGAATGAGGAACTTGCTTCAATTGAAGACATGGGCAAAGAAAGTCGTGGCGCATTTCAGCGACGAGTGGCCAAGGCGAAAGCTCAAGTCAAGAGGGAAAAGGGGGACAAGTGGAGAGGCTTCAAGATCATCGAGAAGACAAGACAAACCCCGAGAATCTCATCGTTTGTCCTCGAAGCCGTCAACCCGATCGAGAGCCCAGAATATCTCAACGAAGGGGCTCACGCAAAGCTCAAGCTGCCGAATGGTCTTCTTCGATCTTACTCTGTTGTCTCCGGGGACCGCAACAAGTTCGAGCTCGGCATTGCTCTCGAGGACAAGGGCCGTGGAGGATCCCTTTACCTCCACAACTCTATGGCTGTAGGCGATATCCTTCAGGTTGGACGAATGACAACCGACGTACAAGTCGCCAGTGCCTCAAGCAATCACGTTTTCATCGTGGGCGGTATCGGCATAACCGCCTTTTTGGTTCTCGCCGAAGCCTATCACGAAGTCCACTACAATTTCGAGATGCACTACGCAGTGCGCTCGGACGACGACATACCGTTTCGTTCCCGCTTGGATGCTCTTGGGAGCAGTGTTCGATTTTACGACCGCAGTAAAGGCGAGAGGATGGATATCGGCGAGATCATGGAGACGCTCAAGTGGAACAGCCACGTCTACGTTTGCGGACCTACGCGAATGACCGAGGCTGTAAGAATAGCCGCAGAGGAGTGTGGTCTGGACGAAGGCGACGTACATTACGAAGCCTTCTCTGCCGACACATCGGGAGACCCGTTCGAGGCAGAGGTTCTAAATCGAGACGGCAAGGTCTTAAAGGTTGGCGAGGACGAGACGCTGCTGGAAGTACTCAAGCGCGAGATCGGGGGCGATGTGGAGAGTAGCTGCGAAGTCGGTAACTGTGGAACTTGCAAAGTTGCACTTAAGAGCGGTCGAGTTGATCACCGAGGCACAGCTTTGTCTACTGACGACAAACTTGGGTCAATGCTGAGTTGCGTAAGTCGTGGCATTGGAAGGATAGCCATCGAGATTTGACATCAGTCTCAACCCGCTCTTTGCTAACTTAGATCTCTTCAAGATATTCGGCTTCACTTTCATATCACATCAAATGTGGTTCCAAAAATGAAAGCGTTAATGCTAGTATGTGCTGTGCCATTTTGCTTCATTCAATTACCTCGGAAGTGAAATAGGAAGAGTGAATAGGAAAGACTTCAACTTCCCATCCAAGCTACTCAGCCGGAGAGAGATCTGCTCACCGAGCCCGGTGTAAATCGCCTTCACCTTAGATAAGGATGGTGGGGTGTAGGACACGAGCCACCCTATTGAATCCGGCCAATTATGGTGGCTACTGATAACAATCAAAGACCCACCTTGACTTTTTTCTCAGGCCGGCTTCGATGTGACAAGAATTCTGGCTGCTCAATCTTCCTTCCCATAGGACGACAACATTCCTCCGCGTTGAGCCGATTTCACGCCAATATGTCAACCGCCGAGTCCCAAGGGGATGGCTTTGTTCTCTTGCCAGTGAAGCTCCCAGCACTTCCCTCGTGCCCCATCACCGCTCTTCACGAGATCCGCGTTCGACGAAACGCGCCCAGGATCCCGACCGAGATCGACGATCGAAGTCTCTTTCTAAAGAACGTTCCCGTGGACAGCACCGAAGCTCATTTCCGCCAAGTTTTCTCCGCTCTAGTCGGTCCAGGTCGCTTCGAAAGCATTGCATTCGAGGATGATCGGAAGAGTGCCGCAGCTGTCGACCCAGTCAACGCTACGAAGATTATGGGTCTAGGCAAGAAGCGCAAGCGCGGCGAACAGGAAGCAGAGGAGAGAGCCCGGGAGGAAGAAATCGCACGACTGCCCGAGACTTGGACGAGGAGATTACGGAAAAGCGGCAGCAGCGCCATTGCTCTCTTCGCCGATGAAAAGAGCGTCGAGCTCGTGCTCAAGGCCATCAAGAAGGCCAACAAGACGACAAAATTTCCCGTCTGGGGACAGGGTGTTTCCGAGGATGAGCCCGAGCTTGGATCCGAATGGGTATCTGCACACATTCAGCTTTCGCGCTGTGACAAGGCGGCAACGCAGAAGTCGGTCCACGCCTTCTTCAACGTTTTCAACCGCAAGGAGAAGGAAGCGGCGGAGATGGCCAAGAGGTTGCGCAACGAGCCAGACGAGGATGGCTTCGTTACAGTTGTCCGCGGTGGACGTGTTGCTCCGGCCAACAAGAACGAGGCCGAAGAAGCCCGACAGAAGATGATCGACAGGGCCTCGAAGAAGAAGGACGAGACTACGGACTTCTACCGCTTCCAACTGCGCGAGCGTCGCAAGGCGGAACAAGCCGCTATGCTGAAGAGATTCGACGAGGACAAGAAGAAGGTCGATGCCATGAAGGAGAAACGTGGCAAGTTCAGGCCGGAAACGTGAATCTATAGAGAAAGGTTCCAACACATCAAACAAGATACCCATGTAAACAACATCACCTTCAGTGTAAGTGGTCTCTCTTCTTTCTCAGTGTACCCTCCCCTTTACATGATGACGCACGCGGGGCCAGCGAAGCACCTGGAAGCGAAGGGCTTGTCCCAGAGTCAGTGGTGCAGTGCCGATAAACACCGCGTTATATATATCTTCTCAACTTTGTCTGACATTCTGCTTGGGGTTTCTTCTTTTTCCATCAATAACTCTTGGGAAAACCAAATACTTACGCAATGCTAGACTACCAGAATTACAGAGCAGAGAGACAGGCTCCTACGGCAGCAAAAGACCCGGTGTGCTAGGCACAGAACCACGTTCGCGGAAACAGGATGTTTTCCGCCGAAGAGGCTTGCCGTACACCTCCACGCCCTCTTGCCCGGGAGTGAGCGAGGTTGAGTGGGTGGAACGAGGAAACCTGTGCCGGGTCGAGTCGCAAAACAGAACCGCCAGATAATCACGGACTAGTCTGATTTTCGCGACCGCCACGCCGCTCAGCGTGCTCGGTAGAACAAATACAAAGCCACGTGTGTGGCAAGTCGATGTTTCCCAGTCATGGCCTTGTTTTCCCAACACAATTCTCGCAATTCTGGATCGAGCAACACGGTGTTTCCAGGTTCCGGACCAGTGGATGCCTATAGTTTAATCAAACGCTTCTCTGACCAGCGCGTGGCGTCAATGTTCTCTTCGACACTACTCCATTTCAGGTGTTGATTGCATTTTACTTGCTGCCCCTATGACCCTCTACTTTTCCCCTCCTCCACTTGGTTCCGGTTCTGCCACGATAATTTAGCGCTAGAGCCGGGGTATCATACTTCCCAACTGGTTCTAGTGGAAGAGTACTCGATGCGCCAGTGCTGGGCTACCACATAGCTGGTTCTCACGATTCGCGACGAACGGGTGAACTGGAAGAGAAAATTTATTTCTTCGGGGGTCACCTTAGTTCCACGGTTCGAATATGTTCATCGTCCACCGCTTTCTCACAACTGCTCTCCGGTGACTTACAAAAGATCCATTTCATGCATATCTGCCTACTCTGTGCCGCATGTCGACGTCTAATTCATGGAAAGATCCTGGCACGATGCGGGTTTACGGCTATCGTCGCCGAATTCACCTCACCAACAAGGGCTCAAATGATGCTTACTGCCTCGGCGTCTGTATCCGATTCGGCATAGGTCAAAGTAGGAAGGAAAGCCCCGCAACACCCACGAATTCATCATGGGGTCACTCTGAGCCCTTTTCCCATGATGTTTATGTCTCCCATATCCTCACTCCTAAGCGCTGAGACCCTGCCAAGCATTGTCATACCCTCGCACCGATGCTTATCGTCCTCAGCTACATCCGAGAATAGCATCGTAGTTGAGGATGGCATTTCCATCTTCGCCTGAAGTCTCTAGCGTGGGGAACAGAATCCTGCCGCTCGTCACACGGACTTTGACGCGATGGGCCGCGATTGCTAACTAAAGGATTCGTGACATGCGAGAATTGTGTGAGATTGAGCAAACGACTCAGGGCCTGGTAGGTAGCTGCGGGCTCATACCGCGCCGCAGTCTACTCTTATGAGCATAATGCACGGTACTTTGGGAATTTGAGGAATCCTTGTTTTCCCTCAGGATCTTGTGTGTGCGTACCTGCAGCTTATTCCCACCCACATCGTGTGCAAACCGAAAGAACGGCTGCACCAAGTCGAGGGGAGCCGGGGACAGCCTAATTAGCCGCAAAAGCCACCAAGTCCAGCCGCACCTCGCTCCTCCAGGTAGCAATAGTCGCCAGCCAACGTCTCCTTTGAGTTAGTCCATCGGCCGAAATAAGTCGAGAGACTAACACCATAGCCGCATCGCTCGACGCCCCCGTGGCACCCATCGTGGGATCCCCCCAATCACTGTCAATCTTTGCCATTTCTGTAATTTCCTGTGCCCCTTTACCGCACCTGATTCGGCGTAGTCAAGGTAGACTCTCCGGCTGGTGCCCGGACCTCACGATGCTTGGCTCCGGCAGCCATCATGGGAGTCGCGCATACGAAGACGACTTCCTTTACAAACCTCCTTACCCTTCCGGGACACACAGACTGTAATGGCGAATAGTCCAGCACGACCAGACAGGCCACCTTAGACTCTGTTCAGCGGGCCCTAAAGGAGGATATTTCCAAGATGAGAAACTCGCTTAGCCCTTCAAGGACGTCTAGCCCGCGATGCCGCTGTGCCTCTGGCCGTGTAAGTGACCTGCGTACCAGCGGCACGGGACAGATGCTCAAGCATTCAATCGGATGGCAGGACATCTTAAGCGGCACCTCGTCCGCCTAGAATGGGCTCCGTCCCGTTTACCTCACGCACCACATCCGCCAACAGCCGTGTCGTCCAGCAACTCCGAGAGCTCTCTTGCTCGTCCAACGACGTATCTCACGTCAAGCCACTCGTTATTCTCTATACAGCCTAACCAAGTCTCTCTTTGGATAATCATAATACAGCCATAATGGCACCTTCACTCTTTACCCTAGGCACGGCTGCCCTGGTCTTGGCTGGTGACGCTATCGCCAAGCAGTTCGTCCTCGATGACACATACGACTCCACGAACTTCTTCGATAAGTTTGACTTTTTCGAGAGCAAGTACGGCACGGGAGATTATAATGACGTCGATCTCACTTCGGGCTACATCAACTACCGCACCCGTGTCGACGCCCAAAAGTTGGGCCTCATCAGCAACGCCGACGGCGAGGTCTACGTGGGCCCTGATGCCCACAACGTCACCGAGTTCCCCGGTGTTGGTCGTTCAAGTGTGAGACTCGAGAGCAAGGCAATCTACAACAAGTCTCTTATGGTCGCCCGCTTTTCTCATCTTCCTAAGCCTGTCTGCGGTGCCTGGCCTGCTTTGTAAGTTCGCTGTCCATGAGTGAACATCCAATTCTCCCTATACTAACATCATTGAAGCTGGTCATACGGTTCTCCGTGGCCTAAAAAAGGCGAACTTGACTTCTTCGAGGGCTGGAACAACGCGGTAAGGATATAGCATGCATGTTTGCAACCTAATAGCTTTGCTAAACAACTACGATAGGCTGCCAATAAGCCTGCTGCCCACACCTACCTCACATCCGAACAGGGCCAGTGTGTCATCAGTGAGACCGGGCAGACGGCCAAGGTCAACACACCCAACTGTGATCAACAGGCTCCTGGCCAGTACACCAACGAGGGTTGTACGACTACATCCACCTCTGCTGACCCTTGGGGCTCGTCCGATGGTGGTATCTGTAAGTGAAGCAAGCAGATCAGTCTTGGGGATGGCCTCAACTAATCCTTCGAAATAGATGCTGTTGAGTGGACACACGACTACATCAAGTTTTTTGGTAAGGAGCTTTCGAAACCTTCGTTTGCAACGTGAATATACACACAACAGATAGCTGACACGACATCCAGCTTGGACTCATTCCGCAGCTCCCAAGAACATTGGCTCCGACTCGCCTGATACCTCCTCTTGGGGAACTCCCTCCATGCTCATCGCCAATGACAAGTGTAATATCAACAGCCACTTTGCCGACCAGAGACTCGTTCTGAACATTGACTTCTGCGGTGTTCTCGCCGGCAATGAGTACATCTGGAAGGATCAGTGCGCCGCGTCCACTGGTCACTCTGTCTGCTCGTCGTATGTCGCGGCGAACCCCAGCGCCTACAAAGACACCTACTTCAAGATCAAAGATATTCGTGTCTTCAAGGAGGGCAGCAAGGCAGTGACGAGTTCCGCATCCTCTTCGTCTACCTCTACCTCGACTTCCATCTCAACCTCCACCACGACATCTGCCACAACGTCGTCTGCTTCGACATCATCCGCCTCGACATCATCCGCCTCGACCTCTTCCGCCTTGACCTCTTCGACATCGTCTGCGGTCACGTCGACTACGATCTCCTCGTCGGCATCTGCTTCCGCCTCAACCTCAACGGGCGCCTCCATCACTGCTTCTGCTAGCGGCTCGGTCACGGCAAAGGACACATCTATCAGCAACTCTGACTCCAAGACCGCCTCTGTTTCAGGCACCGCCTCTGCTTCAGGCACCGCCTCTGCTTCAGGCACCGCCTCTGCTTCAGGCACCGCCTCTGCCTCTGGCACCGCATCTGCCTCTGGAACTGCCTCTGCTTCAGGCACCGCCTCTGCTTCAGGCACCGTATCTGCCTCTGGAACTGCCTCTTCTTCTGGAACTACCTCTGGCTACGGCTCCAAGTCTGCCTCCGCCTTCAGCCCGATTACCACAAGTGCCACTGGCACCAAGTCAGTCACCGCCAGCGCGTCCGGTTCCATCTCCATCAAGTCCAACAGCAAGTCCGAAGAGGATGTCTGCACCGAGAGCGACGCCATCAGCACCAAGACTGGTGTCACCAGCAAACAGACCCAGGCGGCTCCTACGACCACTCCTCCCGTCGAGCTCACGACTTCGACAGTTTACACCACTAAGGTGTCCACAATCACCGCGTGCCCGTCCACCGTCACCGACTGCCCAGCCCGCCTCGGCAAGGTCACGACGCAGATCATCGCTTTGTACACCACAGTCTGCCCCGTCTCGTCTATCCCTGCTCCCAAGCCCACCGAGCCGGTCAAGGGCAACGACAAGCCCAACGACAAGCCCAACCCTGGTCCTGGTCCTGCCCCTGGCGTCTCGACCACCACCTTCACCACCATCTACACCATCACCAAGTGCCCACCCTCTGTCACAAACTGCCCCGTCGGTAGCGTCACCACCAAGATCGTCACGACATCGGTTCCCTCCGCCGGCACCTCCGTGCCCATCGTGACAAAGGTCGTCCCTACGGCCCCCTTGGGCCCTAACTCCGCCCCCAGCCTGACCAAGACTCTCTCCTCAGTCTCCCCATCTGGCGTCCCTCCCAAGCCCAGCGCCCCCGGTGGTAACAATTACGGCTCTGGCAACGGCAACGGTACTATCCCCAAGCCGCCTCCCGGCTTCAACGCCACCGTCCCGGTGACCAAGCTTACCACCCTCACTGCCTCCAAGCCCGCGGGGACGGCCCCCGGTGCATCAACAGCCAGCTACTCTAGCGCCAGCTACCCGACCAAACCGGCCGTCGTCGTCAACGCGGCCGTCCAGGCGGGCGCCAGCTTCCTGCTGATAGCCATCGGTGCCATCGCCGCTTTGGCTCTGTAAATGACTGCAAAGCTTTAGTTCCTTTCGATGATGTTGATGGTTGTAGATGTTAGAACAATGTTTAATGTATATTGAGATGCATGTATGTTGGTATAAGGAGATCGATCACAGTCATTCTCTTTCCTTTTATTAATCCTGGCACATGATAACTACATCAATTTAGACTTAAAAACGTATAGAAACCAGCTAGCTGCCCGCTGTTTTGTAACTCTCTATTCTTTATTCAAAGGCATTGATGGAGCTTCATGAAATGCACAGAGATTCCACCTATGAGTGGTCTGCAATGAACTCTGATATATGAGAGAGTCCCATGCTTAAGCTGAGTGATAACTGTTGTCGTCGAGAAATTCAAATTTTTGTCTACTGGCTTTTTGACCTTCAAGGGCCTTTTTACTAATCTACATGAATGATGATGATGCGTGATACCCCCGTTCGCTTCCGTGAAACCCCCCCAAAACTGATTCCAGGGAACCAAGGAGTTCCCAAATAAGACAATTCCACGCACTACTTCACTGGGCCCCGGCCTCTGTCCGACCGCCAACACATCTGAGGTAGTTTTTTTGTTCTTCATCATTATCAAGTATCGTCCATTCTTGTCATCCCGCTCTCAATAGCGACCTTGAAGCGACGAGCTAGCTGTGATGTAGTGTGTAGTCACAGGGGTGGAAGGCATTGTGCCATGGGCAGATGGACCCTATCTACCACCGCCCTTCTGCATCTTGGTGATTTCGGTCTGGTAACGGATCTTGAAGCCGTTGCACAGCGCTCTCATGTCAGGGTAAGCCTGCTTCAGCAACTCGAAGCCACCCGGAATAACACGAACAGGCCACGAGTTGACACGAGATCCACGACTCGCCTTGAAGCAAAGCCAGAAGTAGCCGGGATGCTTGGGGTCGATACAGAAAGCGTAAGCGGACCGGTTGGGATTGGCATCGATGTATGTGGTGAGCCATTTCTCTGTATTGCATGGTCAGTTGTCGCTCATCTTAATAGTAAAGTACGGAGGCACATACCGAGATCCGTCTTGGACCGCTTCTCAAACTTCTCATGCTGCATCATCTCATCCACCTTGCGAGACATAGCCTCGATGTGTTCATGGATCAACTCATCGAGATCCTTGTAGGTGAATTTACCACCAACCCTGAGAAGCTTGCCGACGGAAAACTCCGTCTCTTTTTGGAGCTCAAGCACGTCGACATGTTGGAAAACACCATCGGCGACCTTCCAGGTGATAGCCAGATGGTCATTACCTTTTGAGGAAGGTCGGATGATGACCTCTCCGGCGGCTTGGGTACCAAGCCATTGCTCAGCTTCCAATCCGTTGAACGGCTTGAACAGCGGGTGCTTGATGACTCTCTGGGTGCGTCCGGTGGTCTTGTCCTTTTCGCGGAGTTCTTCCTTATCGGCTGCCTCCAGTCTCTCGTCCCACTGTCCATGGCCATGGTATAATTGACGCTTGTACGGGCGCTTGACTTCGGCTTCTCTTGCAGAAAGCTTGGCCAAGAAATCCTTGTAGTTTACCTCAAGAACCTTGGCTTGCACCGTCTGTCCGGTCGTGAGAAGACCTCTAACGCGAACACCATCGGGACCATCGTGCGACTCGATGCGGCCCTCTATACCGCAGTCAAGCTTCACTATGGCGAAGTCATCCTTCACCACTCGGATGTTGACGGGGATAATCATGCCCTGGGCGAGTGTGTCCTTGGTCTCGCCAGTAAACATTGTGAAAATCTCGTTCGGACCGAGGCTTGAGAAATTTCTGCGCAACTCCTCGTAGGGGGCTTGAAGCTCAGCCCGAATTGTCTCGAGCGTAGCGCGCTTCCGCTGGCTGTAATTGCGCTCAAGTTGCTCCGCATACTCCTCGAGAATAAGCTCATTGACCTTCTCTTGTTCGTCTTCCTTAAAGAGTTTTCGAACAATAGCACCAGGTCCATTGTGATCCGTCTCCGCTTTGACGTCCTCTTCATCAAGTTCAAGGGCGTCGGCTGCCATCTTGCGACCCAGCTCGTAGTCCTCTGGGTGAACACGGGTGTTGTCAAGGGGGTCTGAGGCGGGGTTGGTCGCATCGTAGTCGATGAAGAGGAAACTGGCGCAGTTGTTCCAGACTCTCGGGCCCACGACTGGCAGCTTGCCACTGTCGGGGTCGCCAACCAGCTCATCTCTGCTGCCGACAGCTCCTCCGTTGGCGTTGATGGCCTTGATGACGCTTGTAGCCTTTCGGGGACCAAGACCGGCGACATAGGGCAGAAGGTTCGCCGTGTAAGAATCGCCCACAGCCTCGTTGATGTTGACACCACACAAATTGACCATGTCAACCATCGCGGACTCAAGGTGCTTGAGCAGCTTCTCTTGGGGCAACAGGTTTTGACAAGGATGGAAAGCCAATGATGCAATGTCTTTGCCAAGAGCTGCATACTCCTTGAGAGGATTTTGCATGTAATGCGCCAAAGCGATGCAATATCTTGTAAGGGAACTGAGAGTGGGGTGCTCAGCGACTGCTCGGGGGCTGTCCTTGTAGAGACGAGCCACCTCGTCATTTACCACGATGACTTCGAGAGGCTCAGTGCGGTATTCCCCAAGCTCAGGGTCATCAAACTCGGGTCCCATCAAGCCCTTCTCGCTGATTAGACTTTCCAAATCTCTCACAAGCTTCTGGGTATCTGCAGACCATCCGCTAATACCAATGGCATCCGGGCGACGCCTGTTGACGATCTCGACGAATTCTTCGCGAGCTCGCTCGTCACGAGCTAAATTGCCCAGTTTTCCCTGCTCAATAACCCGGCCGTCTTCCTCAACGGACGCCCAGAGTGTAGGGTCGCGAGCTGGATCGGCCATTCCGTTGGACAGAGTGATGATTCGGGGCAGTGTACCAAGAATCATACCCTTGGGCTTGTATGGTGCTTGATCGAGCCTCTTTGAGTATTCTTCGCGGCAGGCTTTGAGGATTTCTTCTTGGCATGCAGTCCGGAGAGACTCCTTGACGCCCTTGGCAATGATCTTGGAAAGTCGGGGAACAATGAGATCAAGTACCTTCTGACGTTCATCGTTCCATCGATCCGCGAGTTCACTGTAGTTGTCTGAAATGAACTCTTGGCGTAATGAGCGCTTAAAGCCCTCGTCGTTCTCCAATGTCAGCTTAACCTCGATGAGACCCTCTTCCTCGGCCTTCATCATCTTGAGGTACAGATCTGGCTGGCGAGCAACGTCGGCGATTGTCTGGTTGATGAGATACTTGACCTCGTAAAATGGATGTGACTCGTCAATCTTCTTCAAACCCTTCTCTGTCCGGCGACAGCTGATTTCGCCCATCTGGTAGAAGTTGACTCTGAAGTGCTTCCGCATACGAGGGTTCACAAACAGCTCCTCTGCGTACATCTGACGAGCAGCGTACATCACAGTATCACCGGTTTGGAATTCTTCATCCGTAAGGGAGTCGGCGAGGTCGTCAGGGAGCTGATTGTCGTCGTCGGCCCAAACCTTGTTGCCCTCGCGAAGAGTGTTTTGGGCGAACCGATCCGGAGTGATGCCATAGGCACGGACAAAACCGATGGCCTTGCTCCTCCTGACTCTGTCGACAAGATTTGATTTGGAGCCTGGGCGCTTCATCTGATTGCCATTGCCGTTCATGAAAGACAGGTCCTTGAGCTCGTTGGTGTACTGGAAGTGGAGGTAGTCCTGCAAATCTTGCAATTCTTCCATGGTCGCAGCTTGGGGAATCATATCCTCGAGTACATCGTCCTTGATGCTAGCAGCAGATTTGAGGTTCTCGAGCGTCTTTTCCAGAGCATTCCGCTTTTCGATGAGTGAACGGAACTTGATATCGAGCTCCAGAATTCGCCACAAGTCGTCCTGAGTAAGAAGCTTGTCTGCGCTGACAATCCATTCAGGGGCGTCGGGGTCGTCGCGATGGTCGGGATTTTTTGTCTTCTTGGCATGGATCAGGTAATCCTTGCGATGCTGAAAAACATAGGGGACCTCAACGTCGTCAACGACAAAGAACTCGAGGACCTTACCAATCGCCTTGGTGAAGGGTCCGTGTAGTTCGGACTGGAGTAGCTTTTTGGGCCACATCAAACCTGCAATCCACCGAGCCTCCTCCTTGAACTGCTCGGCGCTAATTTGCAAATGCTTGAAGGGCTTTCGGTCCAGCTGGAATCTTTCAGGCTCATCCGTAAATCGGATCTGGTTGTCCTCGTCGGTCAAAAGCTTCTCCTTCAACTGTGAAGGCTCAAACACGTCCTTGAGCTCAATAACCTGCTCTTCGCGTTCGCGGTCTTCTTGCTCTTCTTCCATTTGGAGGGCCCACTCGTAATCCTCGCCATTACCGAAGATTGCCTCCATGTCCTCCAGGGCGTCTTTGTCGAGGCCGGAAGTGTCGACGACACCTCCAACTCCTCTGTCGCGGGGCCGGGCGACTTCGGCATCTTCCTGCTGACGTGCGCGTTCGTCCTCATCCTCCGGATAATCTTCCTCAATGAAGTCTTCGAACTCGTCAGCCTGGGGGCGGTAGTTCGATCGGCCGTAGGGTTTTTGGTCGTTGGCTTCCTCGTCGTCATCGGAGAACATGTCCTCTAAGCCGCGTCGCTCGGGGCCACGGTCGTCCTCGTCCCGATGTCCTCGTTTGAGACGCTTGAACTTAGGCTATAAACACGTTAGTACAGCCAGTAGCGATAGTCCATGGGGTATCGTACCTGTGTTGGTGCTCTGCGCTCGATTTGTTCCCCGATAAGTTCCAGGTCATCCTCGTCCAGCCGCTCTTCCTCTTCTCTGTCGCGATGCTCTCGCTTCCGCTTTCGCTCGTGAGCATCTTCGTCTTCGCCTTCTTCCTCTTCCTCATCTTCGTCGACAATAAATCCCTCGCGAATCTGAGTGGGAGAAATAATTAGTCAGTCATCAATATAAGTTGAATGTTCATCGCCTACTTTGCGCGCTTCCTCCTCATCTTCATCGTCCTCTTCCTCTTCGGAGGAGTCCTCAGGGGCCGCATTTCTTCTGCGCGCAGATCTAGGGTCGGCATCCTCATCTACAGACTCCTCATCCTCATCATCGAGCTCGGCCTCGCCGTCGACGAAATCACGCATTGAGGCGCTCATCGTTAAGTTGCCCAGAATCGAAGTCGCAGCGCGTGGTGAAAGTGACGCCTTCGTCGATGGATGATACCTGGTAGGCGCGTTGCGATCGCTGAGAGGGCTCGACTGGCCTCAAAAGTTTAATAGAGAAGAAGGTATCGTGCCCGAATTAATGAATCGATGTCGAGATGGGGTCGCTCAAATTCGCAGGAAGGAACGTGAGCAAGAATTGAAGGAAGGCGTCCTTGACCAGGCAATTTTCAGTTGCCTTTCCAGCACGCCTGCACTTGGAATAATTGAAAGCTTGGACCTCCAATGGCTCACCCAGCGCGCCTCGTTCGCTGACCCGACCTTCAGCCTCGGATCCGGAAGGTCCACTGTGGCTGGTGATAATTATTCCGGCTTCCGAACAGGACTTTACCTTATCTTATCGATTTGTCCGAAATGTAGGTATCCCTGTTCACATGGAGGTGCCTTACCTACTTTAGGTACACAGTATGCCACCTGTGATACCACGTGCAAAGTGATTCTGCATCCCCTGCTCGCTGGTGTGAATCCCAGATCTCCGAAGACTAGCTACCCTAGGCTGATTTACCACATCCCGCTAGGTATTCCAAGTCGTCGCCCATGACTCTATGTGCCCCGATGTGGTCTCCTCGAGAAGGGCCACTGCGTAAACTCGAGCATCCTTCAGAGAATCATGAAGCTTCAGTGACGATTTCTTGGGACAGCGGCTAGCTTCTATAGGTCACCTGAATAATGAGAGGCTTCTTTCAATGATCGATACTAGGGTTAGACAAAAACCTGTATTGGTTTGTGAGCATTTAGCTAAGCGGCTTAAATTGGCTTGCCTGCGGACCACGTAGGCCTACTCGTTCAAGCTGTTGCTTCACGAACGCAACAAACTCCAGTCACTTGCTATTTGTGAGGAGGCAGAAGGGATGCGAAGAATTTGTCAACCCTAGGCGATATTACATCCATGATACTGTTTCGAGACCACAGTTGGCATGAGCAGCATAGACAGAAAAAATCGAGAAGGAGGACCCTTTCAAGAGTTTTCATCTTCGTCTGTCAACATGACACAGACGTTGGCGCCGCAGGGAAGTGCATTTTGCAGCCAACGACAAATTAGCAAGCCATGAATTCATCATGCAGCATTTCGTGGCACATTCCCGCGCTTGGGCAGCCATCAGGAGCCTGTCGGGAAGCAGAACAGACCAGACACACAGACATTCAAGGCTTGTTGGTTGGTGTGGGAGGGACAAGAAGGGCGGGCGGCAAGACACTGAGACACCAGGCTGTTTTGTGACTCAAGGCCCTGGTACAGAACAATGTGGGATTTCTTCAATGCCTCACCATCGTTGGCTCGAGTTGCCTCATCACACCCAGCGTGGCAGCCCACCGGCTTATATGAAGTGCCCAGACGACTCCTAGCCCCTGTTATGGACTTGAGTGACGAGTTGAAAGGGTGACGGAGACGGCGACGCAATTGGACTTTACTACTTCATCAAGGGTGAAGGGAGGAATCGTGGGCGATCATTGAATGATGGTACGAATAGTCGTAGCAACGGATGTGAGCAGATAAATTTGGATGGCAGTTGTCTTTGATTGGTGTGTAGATCTGCACTCCCGTACTGCTTATTTTTTTTTTTCTCCGTTGTCTCTGCCATGTTGTGGCAACGTTTTGAGACCAACGGCGTCAAATGCAGGCGGATACAGCGGCAGGCCAGAGAGCAAGGTACCGGTAGCCCTCTTCAAGTCGTAGTCGAACTTGTCTGTTCGCCTTCCTCACTGATAACCTGCTATGTTGATGGGAAGCTGAAGCCTAAAGGAAAGGATAGCCGTCGGTCCCCGGCTCGTATACCTTACACAGAGCGAGGTGGATCTGTCTGTACACAACAGGTGGACTCTGGGCTTCCGAGTCTGTGCTAGAGAAGAAGAATCACGGATGCAATATCTTACGTTGAGTTGAGGTAAAATAGGAGGTCCTTCCCTGGACGGATCAGTCCAGAGACCCCTCAGTCGCCAACCCAGGGTTGTCGAGGGCTCCACGGAACTGCAAGGTCCCCTAGAGGATTCAGACGTTTTGCTGCTACTGTAGCTCTAAAACGTGCGTCAAGTCACCTCTATCCCGTACTCCGGAGCTGGGTCTCGACGTCTCTAAAACACTGGCCCGGGCTAGTGCTGGGCTGTGGCCCGTTTGGGTCCTCTTGTTAGTCTCCGCCGCCGACCCCAGCCACTCTGCGTCTGACCTTAGCTAGGTAAGGCACGCTGGGAACTTTGGGTACTTGGCTTTACTAGTGTAGATAGTAGTAAGGAGAAGTATTCGTAGCTTTATTCGGATACAGTATCGTGGACGTTGGTGGGGCGCTTTCGAACCGTATCCGGCGTTGTCGCAGAGAAAGAAACAGCGAACTGCAACACTAGGAAACCACGAAGCTGACGAACCAAGAAGCCAAAGAGACGTCAAGTCTCAACTCGAGGATGAGGCAGAAACGATGTAGCGTAGCGTCGGCTGGCCAGCAAGGAAATCAGTGGAAACGATACAAGTGACCAAACTTGCCCTGACGGACCGAGACCAAGGTGGGAAAGGCCTGGAAGACTTACGAACGAGTAACCGTCGCTCTCGCGACTGGAGCGCGGATTACTGTGTAGAACCTGGAGGGAATGCCGCCCCTGGTTGGGCCCAGGTTCAGGTCTTAAACAGATACAGCCGCGCTGTGTGATCCGAAACCATTTCTGAGCCCTCATTTGTCGACTTGGGGTGTGCTGGAGACCTGCGTCTCGACACTAGACAAGACGGGACCGGACTGGACCGTGATTCTTGTGGGCTGTTCCTGCCACCTCGTCCTGCTTCCACGGGTAAGTGGAGGTAAGGTACCTCACTTTAGGCACCTGGGCATCTTTACCTTAGGTACCTTTGCCCCTCCACTGGGTGTACCACTGCGCTCCAGCTGGGGGTCGACCACTCCATCGCACCCGGGCACCTCTGTTCTGCTTTGGATGTTTGTGTGGCAGAACGAACCTTTGTTTGATCTGGCACCACTTACTCTTCACCTCTCAGGTCGACTACTGCACCCGCGTATTGTTCTCCAAGCGCTCGAAACTGGTCCGTCATTCTACTGTCCTGCTTTCTCTTCCATCCATCCATCCAGCCCCTCCCCGTCTGCCTCTTTTTAACCATCCTAACCCGCGACCCACGTTCCACCCGTTTACCTATCGAGAGCAACCTCATTTACTTCTACGAGGACCTCTCATTTACTCCTATCCAGCGACACGGAGCACGTTGCCTATTTCTTGCTCGTCTACCCCTCCCCCCTCGCCATTTCTCGGAGTCGCCTCCCTACCTTACCTTCCAACCCCACCTTGGCCGAAACGGGGACGCCATCGAGAACAATCACACCAATAAATTTCGAGTCGGCTACGCCCCTCTTCCTCCTTCTCCTTTCTTACACGCAGTCGTCGACCCCGGATATCGTTCATCGCTTCTTCCGCCAAAGCGGTATTAAATTCGACCTCTGCCCGCCGAGCAATAACGAACCTTCGCAGCTCGCCTTCCCCCCCTCCTGTTTCCCGACGCAACCCCGATTGTGCGAGTCCATTACAGATTACAGAGACAGGCCAGTCTTTGGTATTTGATTACACGAGACCGGTGGGAACTGTCATCTGTCTTCGGCACTAGCGATTCGACCCAGTCCAACCCGTGTACGAACGCTACCCAACACGCGTATCACAATTCCCGACGATCCGAGACGACAAAGCACAGCTTTAGTAGCAGCGCAGGAGACCACACATTGGAGGGTGTGGCAATCTACTACAGCGTCAACAGGGCATGAAATATACCTGTTTATCGTTGTAACTGCTGGCGTATCCCAGCTTCACTTTCGGTTTCCCTGATTACGACTCTGTGACGGAGACCTGCTAGTCCAAAATGGCTGACCCCTTCGCGCCTCGCTCTATGAAGCGCAAGAACGTCAAAGGCCTGGCTTTGACACCTGCTGCGCCCAAGCCTCCACCGACCGCCGAGACCAGCAGTCACCGCGATAAGGACGGCGGTGACCAGTCGGCACAATTGGAGATTGGCATCGAGTACAAGCTGGATCTGCGACCAGAGGACCTAGAGATTTTGAAGGAGCTCGGTTCAGGAAACGGAGGCACCGTCAGCAAAGTCAAACATGTTCTTACCGGAACTGTCATGGCACGAAAGGTCGGTTATCACCATTATCTCATTCGGAAGGCCTATTACTCACCAATATCAGGTCATCCACGTGGAAGCCAAGAAAGAAATGCGCAAGCGCATTGTGCGTGAACTTCAGATTATGCACGGCTGCTCGTCCGAGTACATCGTCAACTTCTACGGAGCCTTTCTCAACGACCACAACGACGTCATTATGTGTATGGAGTACATGGACGTTGGGTAAGAGAGTGTCTGATCTACTTCAGCAACCTTGGCTAACGTATCTCTCAGTGCTTTGGATCGGGTATCCAAGGTCTTTGGGCCTGTTCGAGTGGATGTGCTCGGAAAGATTGCCGTGGCTACCTTGGGAGGCTTGACCTACCTCTACTCGAAGCATCACATCATGCACAGAGACATCAAGCCATCCAATATTCTGGTGAACTCTAGGGGAAGCATCAAGCTTTGCGATTTTGGTGTGTCTGGAGAGCTGATTAACTCTGTTGCTGATACGTTTGTGGGAACTTCAACGTACATGGCACCCGAGCGAATCCAGGGCGAGAAGTACACAGTCAAGTCAGATGTGTGGAGTTTCGGTCTGACCATCATGGAAATGGCCATTGGAAAGTTCCCCTTCAACGCAAGCGAGCAACTTTCGGACGGCGAGTGCGCACCCGCCGGTATTCTGGATCTTTTGCAGCAAATTGTCCACGAGCCTGCGCCCAGGCTACCTAAGAGTGATGCCTTCCCTTCGATTTTGGAAGACATGATTCAAAAGTGTCTGTCCAAGGTTCCTGACGAGCGGCCTACCCCTCAGGAGCTCTTTGTAAGTATATCCACTAAACATGAATCAACCGTGCCGCTAACATGTGTTTCCACCAGGACCGTGATCCGTTCGTCCAAGCTGCCAAGAGGACACCAGTAGACCTGAGAGAGTGGGCGGTTGGTATGATGGAGAGGGACAATCGCAAGTCTCACTTGGCGCCCCAGCTTTCTCCCGCAACACGCGATCTGCTCAACTCCAATGATTCCCCAACATATCACGGCGGTTCTGGAAACGATCGATCTTTGGACACGCCTACTTCAGGAGAAATTCCCATCGCCGGCGCTGGCATTATCTCTCCGAGAGAGCCCGCCAGTCACTCCAACCGTTCTCCCACTAGAAATGGGCTCAACACAATGAGCAGTAGACAGCCGGGTGGCCATCCTGGGATGGGACAGAGGATTGTTACCACCAACTCGATACCCAAGGTTGGCGAGTATCCAAACAGTGCTGGTCCGGTGAGCGCCAATGCTGCGTCGTTTAGCCTGCCTGTTCGCCCGGCCCCTGGCGGACCTCTCCCCCCGGCTCCTCCTCGGAAGGGCACACCTGATGATCCGAGAAGAGAGAACCGGAGACAAGCTACCTTTGGCATGCCTCCGGCGCCCAGAAGCTACGCAAGCGATGTGTACAACGGCACCTCCAACTAGTCGCAGGAGGGCTTCGACTATACGCATAGCGTTGGGCCTCAGTCCCACCAAGCTCACCCACTGCATAATAGAGCATCAAATCGCGCCATTTCGCTACAACAGCCACATCCATCTTTCAGCCAGGGGCCAAGGACTTGCAATATCTCTACCCAGATGGCTTTCCGACCAGCATCTGACGAACGGGTTCAACGGGCCATCGCATCAGCTCCGATCTACTCGTCTCAGAAGATGGACATGCCCGATGACAGAAGCCGCAGGACGCGTCGCGATGACAATGTCGCCGGCTTAGAAGACCCCTTCATCTAGACGCGTAGCAAACCTGGGGTGAAGCCTCGTGCATCAAGTTTCAGCGGCGAAATGTGTCGACTCGATCGTAGGGAAGCTTCTTACCCTCTTTTCACCAGCATCACTCTGCGCATGTATTGATAACGTCCTCTCCTGCAGACTTCGGGAACTTCGGGACTCCACGCGCTTTGGGAGGGCCTGTCAGTTACATCTTTAGGAAGCTTGAACAGAGCATTCGCCATCGATCATAATCAACACAGGAGGGATATGTCGACACAAAAAGCCTTTCATGTAGGGTATCATGTATCTAGCAAACTTGGAGGATGGGTTCAACGGTGGCTGATATGCCAATGAGACAGAGACGAATGATTGAGCAATTCGTCCTGCTTGTCTAGACCATGGTGTCTGATACTCTTTTGAACTTTTTCTAAATAGACATGAAAGTGACAGTAGACAAGTTGCCGTCTGTTCCCTGCTCCTGCGTCTTTTTATGTCGACGGGGCTGATTCTTTGCTGCTGAAACCCTCCTCAAGAATAGGAATCAGCTCGTCTAATCGACGAATCACCAAGTCAGTGTGCTCGTGGTCGACCAGATGCACATTGACATCATTGGCAAGGAGCACTGTCGCCGCGCCAGCTCTTCGCCCAGCCGTCATGTCATCGATCGAGTCTCCGACCATGATCAACTCACTACCATCGCCGACGGATGTCTCCTCGGCGTCAGCCGAGGTATTTGCTTCTTTGACGAGACCCCAGTTTCGCGCAATGTGCAGGATTCCGGCGGGATCTGGCTTTGGCGGACGAAAGTCGCGGGTAACAATGGGCTCGAACAGTGACCCCTCGAGAAACTTTCCGAGAAGGTGTGCGACGGGCGCGTCGAAGTTGCGGGTGCAGATGCCCTTGCGGACGCCGCGGCTGTCGAGGTAGGACATGAGCTCCACGAGGCCTGGCTGGGCCACCTGAGAGGCCATGGCGGTACGCTCGATGTGGCGGATGGATTCCATTGCTGTCTCTTGTTCCTCCTTTGTGGGGAGGGAGTAGACGTGGTCGAGGATGTCTACTTTCTTCGTGATGCCGAGGGCTTGACGCATCTCGCCGAACATGTACGTTTGAGGTTCACTTGACGATAGTCAGCAAAGTTCCCAAGGAAATACATGAGGCTTCTAAGGTATCGAATGAGTTTGTGAAGATGTGAAAAGTATGGCATTTCATGGAGTCTTATCTAAACAACTACCCCCCGAGGATGAAGTAATTTTGCTCTGACGGAGGTGCCAAAGTTGAGAGCTGAACAAGAGGCAGAATATGAGAGAATATGATGGCTGTAAGCAATAAGACGCCTGAGCACGTACCATAATGTTCCATCAACATCGAACACAATGCCTTTGAGTCGAGGTGCAGTTGAGTTTGCTGCAGCACCTGGTTTCAATGGGGCGAAATGCCGGGGAGCGTGTGTGAACATTCTCGAGATGAATTTCTTCATGGGAGAAGACTTGGTGTTGCCGAGAGCTAAGGCCAGCTGCAATATGACGGTCAGGATTTCCCGACTGTGAGATAGAGTTTGCGGTGGTTGCAATACCTTCTATCGAGGAGTTGTTGCGATGAGTCGTTTAACCCTCAACTAAGACGGAAGAGTACGTACACACCCGCACCGGATCGATGACCGCGAGTCGGGAATGCGTCCTGCGGGCTTAACTAGTGTAGGATAGGTAGGCGGCGATTGCGCAAAACCCCACACTGGGCTGGATGGGGAATCGGGGGGTGGGAACACAGTGCTGGCTGACTGACTGAAATGTTGCACAATTCCGGATCCCAGGCGGCCAGATGACATGGGTCTAGGGACGTGAATGGTCGGCGCGAATCTTCTGCGAGGCAAGAGAGGTCTGCTGCTGGTGGGAGGAGCTTTCCATGTGGCGACGCCCAACCTGCAGCAATTTAGACCAGTGCCAGTGTGTCGCGGATGCTCGGTCGTTGGGAATTTTGTTTAGACGCCTTTGCAGGTGGCAGTAGGTCTGTCTGTGTCTGACAGCTATTACCTACCTCTTTCTCTTACGTACAACAAAACACCCAGAGGGCACCACAAGTTCATCCCTATTCAACCTAGAAAACGAACCTCTATTAGACAAGCTTCTGCGAGCTCCCTTGTTGAGCGCAACCAGACCGACTGCTCCAACACGGCTGACATTTGGGTGATGCGCAACACCCAACCGTGATGAGCTCGTCGAACAATAACCAATGGCCACCTAGGCGGCCCTCGAAACGGAGCGTGAGTGAATGGACCATCGTGCTCCTTTTGTAAAGCTTGAGGGCTAGTGCTGCGCAACTCGTAGCTGACCGCGCGGTGTGATTCTAGAAGCTCCGAAATGGCACCTTCATCGTCCCAGGCACCGGCGAACGCAGCCGCCGCCAATTCTCTCTCCGCGGATCGAGCATCGAGATTCCCCAACCCGAAGTGAATGGATACCGATCCCTCTTGGCCGCTGAGTCGACGAGCGAGTCTCTCAATGTGGTCAAACATAATATCAAGACCAGTGCCCTGCACCTCTGGGACTGGCTCATGTCTCCGGCGGGCAAGGGCGTACTGAAGTGTACCTTGGCATACCTGTTGGCCAGTATGGCGACGTTCCTCTCGCCCATCTCGGCTTTCTTGGGCAAGCCTGATGGGAAGCACGTCGTCGCGACTTTGACGGTCTATTTCCACGCCAGTCGCACGTGGGGTTCCATGGTCGAGGCCGTCGCCATTGCCACCATCGCCGTCCTGTATGCCGAGATCATATCCTGCCTCGCCATGGCCTTTTCCGTTGTGGTAGGAGGGCAGCTCGGCCTCATTCCGCTGTCCCACGTTCTCATCTTGACGTTCTGCATCGGCGGCGGCATGGGTTTCATCGGGTGGGTGAAGCAAAGGCTGAACAATCCCTTGGTTAACGTGGGATGTACCCTGTCTTCGATTGCCATTATCGCCGTGGTCACTAGAGAGGAAGCAATCCACGAAGGGCACTTTTCCGAAGCCAAGATTGTGCAAGTACTTAAGATGTTGGCTATCGGCATTACCATCACGGCAACGGTCAACTTCTTTGTCTGGAGGGTGTCGGCACGGGCCCTCTTACGTTCCTCGATGAACTCGGCTGCCGTATCACTCGCGGACATGCTCTCCATGATTACTCGTGGGTTTTTGAACGGTTCCGAGAACGAAATCATGTCGGGAGACTTTGGCCAGGTTGCGAGACTGTACAAAACGACGTACGGGAAAATGACGAAGAATCTTAGGGAGTCGAAATTGGAACACTGGGTTCTTGGACGGGAGAAAATCTATAACCTGGAAAAGAATCTTGTCAAGTCGTTGGAGTCACTCTCGCAAGCCATAGGAGGTTTGAGAAGTGCGGCGAACACGCAGTTTGCCTTACTCAAGGAGATGCCGCAGGATCCCATGGGCGGACAGCTTTCTCCCGGAAGCACGGTGTTCTCACCAACGCTATCTCGCGCCATGTCCCAATACCTCAAGGGTGCTCGGGATCGGTTCGCAACACTAGCATCAATCGAGGAAGATGACGAGTACGACGATGATCTGGATAGCCATCCAAGCCCCGAGGCAACCCCAGACGGCCCGCCGGCGCCACTTCCTACTTTCCGCTCACCGTCGGAGATCTTTGAGCTCTTCATAGCGCTGCTGGGCCCCTCGATGAAGTCTCTGGCATACACTCTTTCGGAAATCCTGAGAGAGCAAGCTTTTGCAAAGGGGGCAGACTCCAAGATCACAGTCAATCCTCATTTTAAGCATAGCTTAAAAGACGCCATGGCACTGTACAGCAACGCGAGAACTCATGCCCTGCAAGAGCTCTATACTAGTATCGAACTGGGCCGAGCGAGGTCAGAAAAGATTCAAGCAGACATCGAGGAAGTTGCGGCTGCCTGCGGACATTTCAGTTTCAGTTTGCAGCACGTGGCAGAGGATATTGATGCATACTTGACAGCCTTGGAGGAACTCAAGTATAATCGTGAGATGGGCTCCCGCAGCTGGAACTGGTTGAAGGTTTGGAAGCACCTGTCCTCGCCCGCTCAACCCAAGGAATCCGACCCTAGCAACCTGGATACTGAGCGTTTGTTACATCAACCTATGGAGCCTCCTGAGCAGCCTGTTCGTGCCATCAGGAAATCGGCTCTTCCCAGGGGTATTCCCGATACGATGATTAAGCGCAGAGATACTTTTAGCTGGGATGCTGCTCCCAACGCGAGTATGATTATGAGGTTTTTCTCGCAGCAGCTTCTCAAGGGCTTGAGAGTTCTGGCACGCGATGATAGTAAGTGACTAAAACTCGAAGAGTGCTTAGGCACAGCTAATGATTTGGGCAGTCCGGTTTGGTGTCAAAGTAGGCTTCGGAGCGATGCTCTGGGCAGCATGTGCCTTCATTCCGGCAACAAGACCGACGTATCAGCACTGGCGAGGCGAGTGGGGCTTGCTATCTTTCATGATTGTCGCGTCTATGACTGTGGGAGCAGCCAATACTACCGGCACCGCAAGGTTTATTGGCACCATTGCCGGAGCCACATTTTCATTGACGGCGTGGGCCATCAGCCAAGGAAACGGGGTCGTCCTCGCGTTCCTGGGTTGGATGGTTAGCTTCTTCAGTTTCTACATGATGCTCGTCAAGAACAATGCCCCCTTCGGTAGGATTACGCTTCTAGCCTGGAACGTCACTGTTCTCTATGCCTATTCGTTGTCACAAAAGGTGGATGATGACGATGACGATGAGGGTGGTTCCAACCCTTTAATGTTTGAAATCGTCTACCACAGATTTGTTGCGGTGTCGCTGGGTATCCTATGGGGTATCTTTGTTTGTCGGGCAATCTGGCCCATCTCGGGCAGGAAGAAGTTCAAGGAAGGTCTTTCAGTGCTCTATCTCCAGCTTGGTCTTATCTGGAAGAGAGGACCACTGGCAATTCTACTCCGAAGCGACAACACGAGGTCGTACATGAAAGCCGGAGAAGAGCAAGCACTGCAACGCTATGGTAAGATTCCTACCCCCTTGGCTCTAGCGTAACAGATATCGCTGACACACACAACAGCCTTCAAGCTCGAAGCCTTGCGTAATTCCGCAAAGAGCGAG